AAAATATCGCTTAGTTTAATCTTAAAGATCGCTTAATTTGTTGTTAAAGATCGTTTAGTTTGTTCTTAAAGATCACTTAGTTTGTTGTTAAAGATCGTCCAGTTTTTGTTAATAGATCGCATTATTTGTTCTTAAATATCGTTTAGTTTGTTCATAAAGATCGCTTAGTTTGTTGTTAAAGATCGCTTAGTTTTTTTCATAAAGATCGCTTAGTTTGTTCTTAAAGATAATTGATTTTGTTCCTTAAGATTGATTAGTTTGTTCTCAAAGATCTTTTAGTTTGTTCCTAAAGAACATTTAGTTTTCTGCTAAAGATCGCTTGGTTTATTCTTATAAATAATTTGGTTTACTATTAAAGATCATTTGTTTTGTTCTTAAAGATCATTTAGTTCGGTCGTAAAAATCGTTTAGTTTGTTCTTTAAGATCGTTTAGTTTGTTACTAAAGATCGCTTAGATTGTTCTTTAGGATCGCTATGTTTGTTGTTAAATATCGTTTGAGAAAAAGCTAAAGATCGCTTAATTCGTTCTTAAATGTCGTTTAGTGTGTTGTTAAATATCGCTTTCGCTGAATATTAAATGACCGAAAATCTGAGTCACTTCCGGCCGATGGCCGAAAGTCTAAGTCAATTTCGGCCGAAACCGAAGAAAAACCGAAAGTTAACTTTCCTCTTTCGGCCGAAACCGAAATTAAACCGAAAGTCAACTTTTCAGTTTCGGCCGAAACCGAAACTTGGCCGAAAGTGATAAAATGGCCACTTTCGGCGCCGAAACCGAAGCCGAAGCCGAAATTCGGTCGGTCTCTAGTAGATACTTCGATGAAACAAGGGAGACTACTATTTTTTTTGTATCGGAAATGGCTGTCGGCGCCGAAAAATCCGAGTTTTTAATTTTCCGATGTGTGTGTCTATTTATTATTAAATTAGTTCTTTCCACATATATTTGAGTTCCGTTTCCGGCCTTATAATTTGGAAGACATCTTGGCCTACATTTCTAGCCAGCTATTTTGCTTTTTTCAATCGACCTTTATTTTGAAAATCTTTGGTATATATAAGGCATCTTCGCATACAAAATTTTTTGTGAAATAATAAGATAAGGTCCTTTTTGATTAAATCTGTATGAGCATTAGATATTGATCTATATCTGTGCCAAGTTTCATTGATGTAGGTCGTGTCTCACGTTTGTTACACTTGTCACAGTGACCCATATCACCATAAGGTGGCTCAGCCTAATTTCGACATGGCGTGGGCCACGCCCCCTTTTTAATGGCGGAAGTTGCCGATACTTAGGAAATATTTAATTATTACCACTATATACATCAAAATATTTTATATTTTGTGTTTCAGAATGCATTTTGAAGACATTTAAACTGGAAATGTTTTAATTTGAGCTTTAAAAACCCTGCAGAGTCCATATTATAAATGATCAGAATTTTCCCTGTGCAACACGTTGTCATTGGCAACCATTCACAGCCACTTGCATAACGGCTACGTCGTAGTACTATCTCAGAGTTTCATTCATAAGAGTTTGCCGTGTGCAAAAACTATTAAACCATTGGTCAGGGAAAGCTTTAATTAATTATTCATGTGCCAAAGTTGAAAGTTTAAAATAAGTCGACCCTAAACAGTATTTTAGTGATAGGGAATGCGTTGCCTTATATAAACTATATAGTCATTGCGCATGACGCGATCAGTGGAATGAGGTCACAGAATGTGGAGATGCAGTCCATGTTAAAAAATGACAAACCAAGTCGTACTTTAAAAATTCATAACTTTAAAACTACAACAGCTAAAAATATGATTTTGGTGTTATAATTCTGTTTAAAATTAGCTCTATTCAACTGTGCCATTGGTTTATTTTTAAAAAATGTTTACATTTTTGACCAAAGTATCTACATATGGCCATGGAAGAAATTCAAAATCCTAACCCTAATAAAAATTAATAAGTATAGGCTAATATAAGCTATTTGTATTTTTATTTAGTTTACCAACCAAACCATGAATATGTCAAGAATATTACAAAATGCCTGATATGTGAAAAATGTAAATTATTATTCTGTCTCTGTAGTTGAAGTCTAGCTCCAGAATGCCTGATCCTTTTTAAGTATTTAGGTCAATTTAATTTATTATAGCATTATTTTATAGAAATATAATTAATTATAAATTTATAAATTATATTAATATTTAATACACACAGTTTATCACTGCTTTTAAATATTTACAATTAGTATTTCATAATTAAACATTTTCAAAATACAACTTGTCCTTGTATCCTTTTAGAAGTGCTCCAGTACTGAGCTAAGGGAGGTGACTATGTTAAATTTACCAGTGAAGTATGTAAATATATACATGGTAAACAAAGTCATGACTGATATGACGCCATATTCCATTTTGTTGCACATAAATTGCCAGCTAGGCTTTGTTTATATAATACAAGGACATTCTCAAATAATGACAGCTAAGCATAGGGGAAACCGAGTATACCATATTCGGATCTTAATCTTCTCTCACCCATAAAAATAATCGTTCCAAAATGATTTAATTTCTACATATTCAAGTTTATTCGTTCTTTCTATTTCACCGTCGTCCGAGAATCTCGGTCAGATTTATTTTGGTTTTATATTTTACATAAACTTCTAGATAAAAGAGCTTTTCAGAAAAAAAAGTAATGTACAATTTAAAGCCCAATTTTTATGGTCTTTAAAAAAAAAAAATTAATTAATTGAATTTTTTTAGTTAATGAAAATTTAGTCGTCTGGCACCAAATTTAAACATTTGGCCTTTTTTAATATACGCGACGTTTTGGTCTTCTTTATTACTTCTATATTTTAGAGCATGATTTCAGGCTATTATTGATTTTTCCCGGCCAGCTGTATTTGTATTGAATTAATTTGAATCTTTCCCCAACTCAATGCTATTTCTGATATATATTTAAACTTGTTTACTCATTATTACAATGGTGCTGTTTGAAGCTTAATTTAATATGAAACACTGAAATATTCAATTGTTCAGAGTAGGAGCTATTCATAACACACAGCCATTCTTCCAGTGGGCTGCTGTGTACATATATTTTTTTGTACTAGGCCCTACACATATTTGGATGGATTTTATGACATGTGTTACTGGTTCTTTTCTTGTGGCTCTAGCATGGATCAGAGATCTTTTGTTGTTAAGGGCTGCATGATATCATTAAATTTAAAGGCCCAGCTTTCCTAAAGACAAACTTACATAAATGTTTAGTTGATGTATTTTCATTTAACAAGTTTCTATCATTTACATTTAAGTTTGTTTATTTAAAAAAAAAGTGCAAATTAACCTAATAACAGTGAAATACTTGTACATTTTTTAAATTCAAAGTTTATTCAGGAGTGGCTGTTGATAAAGTGAAAAAAATAATAAAATATACCTATGAGACACATCTTTTTCTATTAGAATATTTTATTTCTAGTTAAGAAAAGGAGTATATGATAATAAATGTAACTGTAAACACATTCAGATATTGATGTCATATGCTTTAAAAAAAAGATCAAAGATGAGATATGATGATGAAGAAAAAAATATCACAGTCATTAATTGTAAATAAAGTATTAAAATTTGTATATTAAGGGTTATCTATCAAAAAAAAAATTAATATAAAATATCAGATGGTTATGATTAAAATTTACAGTAACTACAGAATAACATTACATGCTTGCTTTCATTATGAAAGTTTGGTGGCAGTTTAGATAATTTTCATAATTCATTTGTTTATATTAATAGACAAAAAGACCTTTTACCCACTGACATATTCCCGAAAATAAAAACAGCTAATGATAAGATATAGTAAAGTCTTTAAATAAAATAGAGAAATGTAAACAAAGTTTTTCAAAGGATCCAAGGCACAAAATGTGAAAATGTAGTTAACATTTCTAAAGATACACAACTAGCTATGAATCATATTGACTTTAAGGTATTCATATAATATATTTATCAATGGTGAATAATGATATACTTTCACTATTTGCTCAATAACCATCTTGGAATGGTGAGGTAAAATTATATCTTCTCATACCAATAATAAAAGCATTTCTATGCATTTTTAATAAAGGTTGCTTTCGTTTTTAAGAATTAAACTCCATTTGAGTTTTTTTTAAATTAATATGTTTTCATACATTGCCAGGAAAGAGTGACAGCAATAAATTGAAAACCCCATAATATTTTTAATATGAATGATCTTCTATTGAATGCTATTTATAATTTCTAGTTTGCTGTCTGCTTACTTGGACATCAGCAAATTTTTTAATTAGACGGGGAACATGCAAACTAAAAAGAGTGTGACAGACTAGAAAAAATTTCATGGATAGAAGATCCTGTTTAAGAAACTGCTTCTCTTTTAGGAGATGTTACAATATTAGAGGCAACTTTGTTCTTAATTCTGACAAATAGCTTACTTCACCTAATTACAATACTTATGCTCACCTTAACAGTACAATAGTTTCATATAGAAAATGAACTTCAACTGCTTTATCCTTAAGTTGAATTAAAAATAAGTATAAATATGTGTAAATTAAAAAAAAACTATGTAGTTACAAAACCTAAAAAAACTAGATTTCCATATCTTTTCACAAAACTAAATAGTTCAAACTAATTTATTTAAAAACAAAAACTACAACACATTAAAGGAAATAATTTGTGTTAGTTGAAATTGAAGGAAATTAGAGCCATACAATTAACATTAAGACTGGTTTATGTGTTTTTAATTTTAAATAATTGGATAAGTTAAATATTACAATAATTATAATGATGAACTACAATTAGATTGTCCAGTGCTAAGCTGCTGCCATACTGAGTATGATGTTAAAATTGGGCTAGCCACTTTTATTCCTTTTTTGTAAAGTCTTGTGTCATTGTGTCCTTTCTTGTTGTGTCCTTTCTTATCACTTTGTAGTCATTTAAACTCAACTCAAATGTCAGGACTGAAATGAAGTAAAAATAAAGGTAGATTACTAGGAGATTAAACTAAGTCTATTTAAAGAAATCAAATTGACATTAACTTAACTAAATTTTAAATAAGCATTAATATAAATTGTTATATCAGCATCTGACATCATTTTAAAATCAAAGATACAAAATATATACCCTGTACTTGATAATAATTAAACTTACCAGAAACTAATAGTAATTAAAAATACAGCCCAGCTCTGATTCTTGCTAACCTAAGCTCTAGGTCAAGGTCATCTAAAGAGCTGTAATAACTACTGTATAATTTAGAGAATCTTCGAGCTCTTGCTCTTTCCAGCTCCTACAAGGAGATAAAAATATCAATGAGTTAGCTCAGTAAGGTCAATCGATTTTTTAAAATGGAAGAGTGATAAACTGCCTATAAGTTAAGATTTATTTAAAATATATACTTAGCTGGTTTCTATTCGTCATCACTACAAAGTCCAAATGAAATTACTTTCACAGTGCTTTCAATCTTTCAGATTGGGTTTGTTTGCACCAAAATTAACTAATTAAAACATAAATTTTTACATTAATATGAAGATTAACTAATGACTAATTTATTTCTCCAATAAAAGTTTTGCAAATGAACAAAGCATTTAAAGACCAAAACTAACCCTTTCTGCCAGTCTTTCATAGTAGCTTGGGGTGAATGGTCGGCTGTAGGCTGAGTCACCATACCGCTCCCTAAAACTGCTTTTGTAAAGTAATGGGCTCACAGATCGTGGACGAGGAGAAATATATGATGGCTTAGTTGATGTTAGCTCTTCCACTTCCAAATCTAAATTTTAAAAAGATATATACAATTTGAAGAATCTATAATTTTAAATTTGCTTAAAGAATGAAGATATCCATTTAGCTTTTAATATCCATGATTTTAGTTACTGCAAAGACCTGAAAAATTATAGTCTTTATAACAAACTGTTTTAAAAAAAACACCAACTCTTAGTTGCGTTCATACGCCGTTTTCAAAAGCACTGACCAACGGGCTGTGTGTTGTTTCAATATCATGTTTGTTTCTTTGCTATTTCTCGTTTAAACTTTTTAAGTTCTATTTTTAAATAAGACTTTTACATACAAGAGTGGTACTTCATTGTTTATAAGCGAAACCAAGGTTTATTTGTTGTCATTTGAAGCATCATTTTAATGATTCTCTTTGCTTTTTTTCTACTGTTGCTATGGCTACTCTAGGCCCTAGTAGATGAGTAAGTTTCCTAGATGAACAGCTCAAAAAAGTTTTGAAATTGTTTTATACTATTTCTTTTGATATTGAAGATGATTTATATTTTGATCCATTGCATGATTACTATAAAGTAGTTGTTTTATAGGATTTGAGTTATAGAAGTGAGGATGAGGTATGCCTACATCATGGGGTTTGGGGAAAAAATGGTTTAGCATATAATGTTTTCACATATTCTGGTTCTTTTCTGTAACTTATTTATTTGAATTAAAGAAATAAGTTTACAAACATATAGTCCTTTCAATTATCTTTTTTTTTTTTTTTATACCAAGTTTAGTCTTATAAACCAAACAATAATGGTTTAAACAATAATGGTATTTTTATAATAAACCCAACCTCTCACTCTTTTTCACTCTTCGAAAAAAAATGTAAATTTTTTCAATAAAAAAACTGCAGCGAAAGTAAGTACAATCAATTCATTTTACCATTTTAAAAAAAACTCTTTTACCTGTATCGTCATCATTTTTAGAACCATAACGTGGTTTGAAAACTGGCAATGGATCCTCAAAGGGTTCTCGAATAACCTAAGACATAGAGAGTGAACTGAAGTTAATCATGATTGGTTTCTTTTTAGTTATAATTTATTTCAAGTTTTTAATTTAATTTTTAAAAAATGAAAAGCGACCCAAAAAAATAAACATTTAAAAATGTTCTTGCTATAACACAGACAAAATTGCAAGATTTTATCTATTTCAATAGTTATAAAAATGCACAAAGTAATTTAATACAAAATTAAAAGTTGAAACCTCAAAACTCCTAAAAATAATGTTGAAATATTGTTATGGAATTAAAAAAAAAAGAATGTAAATGCTAAACATTTTTACTTCAGTCGAATTTACTTAACGTTGTCAAATTTACTTCCCTTTTTCAAATCAAGTTACCATTTTCAAATTTGCTTACCTTCGTTCAAATTTACGTACCTCTGTCAAATTTATGTACCTTTTTCAAATTTACTTACCGGTACCGTCTTCAAATTATTGTAATTTTGTCCAATTTACCTACCTTCGTCAAACGATAACTTGGTTTTGAAGAGTAGGATATGTTTATATCGTTATCTTCAACATCTGAAAGAAACAACATAAATTATATTAAATTCATTTCAGAAATTAAATATGCAGCTTCTTGAAACATTTAAATTTAAAAGTTTTTGTTATGATTTGACTCAAACAATAAATTTAATCTGTAAAAAAAATAACCTACTTTGCCTACTAGCAGGCCTATAAGGCGAACTGCTGCGACTGACAGGCCTGTAAGGAGAACTGCTGCGTTTTGGTTTGCTTTTAGCATTCTTGTCGGTTGTGGCATTAGGTACTCGTCCTATCAAGTCCTCAGTCAACTTTTAGGAAATAAGATAGTATTTTTAACATGATATGATTCAAGGACAGATTATATCAGTACTATTTTATTAGTTTCTAAAAATGCTTTAATTCTATGATGAGCTTAGAACTTTACTTAAACATTTAAGTATAAAAGTTATAAATTATTCAGTTCTCCATCAAAAAGGATTTGAGTACATGCATATAAAAGATTTATTTCACTTAATCATTGAATTAATCCAGATTTGCGGATAAACAACACAATCACTTTCTTAGTTCTTGCTTTTATTATTTACCAGTTGAAATGTCTAAACTTAAACAAATGACTTAATTTTAAAGCCATTTAGTTTAGTGTCATCATAGTCATAGGTCAGTGTAAAGCTCAAATTTATGGCATTTTATAAATAGAAATAACAAAATGTGTTGGAGAATAATATTTGCATTTATTACACCACATGTTTATTTCTTTAAATAAAGTTGTTGTAAGAGAAAACATTAGCAACTTACAAGCATTAGGGAAACTGAATTATATAACAAATATTAACATGCTAAACCAACAATGAATTCATTCAACAACAATCCACTCATAAAATACTTTATGTCGCGCCACATTTTTCTGCAAATCCTCTTTCTGACATTAGGGTTTTGGTACATCATTAATTTTTTCTTACTAGAGCTATCTTACATTATTTAAAGTTTTTTATACAGACAGAAACTGTAAGCTATATATGCCAGAACTACTAAAAGTGGTGGTCCCACGAACAACCACCGATCCAAAAGCCAGCCCTAAGTTGCCACCCCTAAGTAACCAGCCCATAGAAGTTTAAACAATTTTATTTTTAAAATCACTCATAATCAAAGTGGGAAATAGTCTCTCATGCATGTGGATAAATCTGGTTGGTAACAATCACCTGTTTGATAAGCACTGGCACCATTAGTTTATTGTGGGCTGTCAAATAACATCAGAGACACAATAACTTGTCAGTTAAAAACTTATTTTATAACACAAACAACTTTAAGATTTAAATTTAATATTGAAACAAAGAAGTGAAAGGTAAACCATACCATAAAAGATTGACAAAGTCCAAAGCCCCAAAATTATGTAACCAAATTAAAAACATAGTACCCTTTACTCACTTGTTCTGTGGCATTATTATTATTAATGCAGTAACCCTAAATGAAAGAAAATGTAGTCACAATAGCTATAAAGAAGGAGAATCAGGAATTTTCCAAACCCTGCCAAGGTTTTTAAAAACGAAAAAAAATTAAAATCAATTTTTTTTAAATAGCTATATAATTTTAAAAAAATAAAAACCCACTTTTCTAACAACAAAGGGTGGCCTTGTGTCGATAGTGTCCTCAAGATTGATATCTAGCATCTTCCGCCTGACAGTTGGTGACACAGACCTAGAACGAGAAAGGGAACTAACAGTGGGCATACAATAATGAGGAGGACATCTGTCCTCAGCACTATTCCTTCCCCAGTGTTTCAGTCTCTGGTTCGGCCAAACCTCTTCTTCATATTCATCACTATCAGAATATTCCAGACAGGGGCTGTAACTGTATTAGAGAAAAAGTAATTTTTAATGGTGAAGGTCTTCCGCTCTGTAAACAATAGAAAAGCACATCTATTTTTAAGATTTAATTTAGTTAGCTATAAAATCTCTGAATATCTGTCAAATTATTTTTTCAAATAAATAAACTAAATGGCCATTCATTTCAAATCTTAACACAGAGAAGTCTAGTATCAGTACACTAAAAATATCATAACGTTATTATTAGACAGCGCTTTCTTATTTTGAAAGAATTTTTTTTTTTAAATTTTGCTTATTGAAAATTGTTTGTGCTATATATGCTAAAATTCATTCCTTTTATTTGTGCATCAATGTTTAGTTATAGCTGTACTTCAAAACTGGAATGTTAATAAATAAATTTATATCAATTTAAAAATATCAATCAAAATAATATTTCAGCATGTCAAATTGCTTAATTTCATAGCAATATTAATGTAAATTAAATGCAAACAAAAAGATCAAATTAAATAAAAATAAATATAAAACATTCATACCTACTTTAAGCACATACAACTGAATGGGAACATATTATTAAAAAACAATAAGCTATACATGTTTTTAATGTAACCATTTAAAAATGCGTTGATTTTCATCTGGAAATAAAAAGTGTGCGTTGTTATCAAGTACTAAGACAAATAAAGACACTGCTCATATCTATGTTCATTGTAATGAAAAAATGAACACACTGCTCATATCAATGTCCATTGTTATCAAATACTAAGACAAAATAAAGAAACTGCTCATATCTATCTCCTCTGGTTGGCTTGCTATAATATTTAATTTTCCACATTCAAAAGTAAAAATGACCTGGGATTTTCTGGAGTTTTCTTTCCAATCTTCATAAATTATAACATTGAATCATGACATAAATTTTAATGGACTGAGAAATAAATGAGATTTTATTTCAAGTGGTTGAAATGCATTTTCTCATAATGTACTCTGAGATCAAAATAGATGAATAAATGTTATCATTTTCATTGTTAACATAGAATAACCACAAGTTTGCATACAGTATAATTTTTTTTTATCCCTTTTTAAGAAAAAATCATTCATTAATTTTAGATGAGTTAACATTTTCAAATTTTAGATGAGTTAACATCTTCAAATGTCATTATTCATTGTTGTCTTTAACAGAAATATTTTGAATCTGCAAATATTTCATTTAAAAAAGTGATTTTATGGAAGTTTTTACAGAATTTATATGTTGTTACCCTATTAAAACCAAAAACTGCATTCATTTAAGTTATTACCTTGCTCTTGAAGTTGGTCGTCTACGAGTTTTTTGGCGAGACTCCTAATTCAAAGAATAATCAAAAAAAAAATTATTTTTAAAAATTAAATTAATTGACATTTTAAATTAAGACTAAGTGATTGAAATTTATTATTTTAAAATGGTTGAAAAATATTAACCTTTCATTATTATTTAGTTTCATCAAACTAATATTTATTATTGTTGCCTTGTGCTAATCTTTGATGAGGCTGCAAAAATTCTATCTACTTTACAAATAATTCTTTTTTAAATCATTTTTACATGAATAAAAAAAGTCAATAAAAAATTCAAACCTAAAGTTAATAAAGAAATTGTATTTGATTTTGTTTATGATGGGAAAAAATATGTAAGTTAAGATTTCTTATAAATGAAAATAAACTTCAGACTTAAGTTTCATAGGTTATATGAGGGAGGTTAAGTTACTAATTTATTTCCTGTATCTATCCATTAATTATTATTTTTAATTTGAAAATATATTTTGGCTTACCCTTTCCATTTCAACTGCATCATCTAGTGCATCAAGCTCAGGTGAAATGGATTCTTTGATGATTGTTTTAGTGGAGAATTCAAGTTTTGGTGATATGCCCTGTAAAAGGGTTTAACAAAAAAAAATTAAACATAGAAGTTCAATTTTTTTTTTTTCTTTTTACATTGATATCCAATGGTAAACTTTTTGCAACGAAGAATGAATAAGCCATATCTATGTATATGATGCTATGCCATTTCTACACATGTAGTTATTGAGCCTATAGTTAATTATTGTGGGAATCACTGATGAATAGATCTGGAGGCCATACCTCAACATCATTGCAGTAGCTGTGAGAACATTTTAATCAGTAATAAAACATAATTACAATTCATTTGGTGTAAATCTAAAATAAACATACATTTTCTGAATGAATTTAAAAATATATTTTTTTATTTAATATACTCATAAAAATATTTAAATTATTTTTATTTATTCTTCATTTTTCTGGAGTTTGTGTAAAGTGTTTGGGGAGTTTGTGTTGTGTACAATTTTTGGGGAGTCTGTGTACAATTTTTTGGGGAGTCTGTGTACAGATTTTTCAGAGTCTGTGTATAGTGTTTTAGGAGTCTGTGTACAGTGTTTTTGGGAGTCTGTGTACAGCATTTTTGTGAGTGTTTTAGAAGTATTTTTACATCCAAGAGGTTGGCATCTATGAAACTTGAAATAGCTGTTAATAAAGTAAAGTGAATAAATATTCACTTGAAAATGCTAAATAAGATTTTACTCACAGGAAAAGCTATAGTCCTGCACATAAGAATTTCTCTTTCATGAGCAGAATAAGATGGTGCTAATGTTGGGTAAGGGTAAAGAAAATCCCTGGCATTGGTTGAGAAGGATGCAAGTCTAACAGCTCCATCGGTGTACTCCGATAGCTGAACAAGCTCAAATATAACTAGTTCATCTGATATCACATTTCAATGGATGAAAGAAAAAAGAAATTGAAACTTATTAATGGAAAATTTATATTCAAATTGGGTAATTTCATGTGAAGATTAACTTTTTTAATCCAGGTATATAATTCTTTAAAATCACAAATAATAATTATTAGCTTTGAATTTATGACTGTAGCACTGTGCTCAATGGACATGCAAAATAAAATTCCTATAAGTTAGCCCTAATTGGGATTCTTACAAACCGTGTTACCTGAATGCATGTTTTGTCAAGTAGCTTTAGTAGATGGGAAATTCATGCCTTGCCACCCCAATTGTTTTGCTGTTCATTTCTAGTGTTTAATAATTTTCCAAATTAATCCATACACAACTAGGGGTTGACCATAAAGAACACCTGCATAAAATATGCATCTTTTCCACCCCTTGTCCACACTTATCAGCATATGGCTTATCCCACCACCCCCACCCCCCCTGGTTGCAGACGTCCGCAGGCATATACAGCATTTGCAGTACAAAATTCCAGGAATTATAATGTTTATAAAGTGCAAAGAGTCACCAGATTATGTACTCAATGTAGGGGAGGGATTGTTGATTTAGTAGATTTAACATCCTGGTGCGGGGGTGGGGTGTTGGACTGAGGTTCTGAAGAAAGTATATAAATTTAATTATTATTCTGAAATTCTGATATTTGTGAAATCGATACTGGTTAATTATTTTTTTAGTCTAAAAAAGACAACACTCAAATGTTTCATATTTATCATCCTACTGTTGCTCAGTGTTTACACTTGCTATATATCACAAGAGTAATAGTCAGCCTAGTGACAACTTTAAGTCCAACATAAGTAATTCTACGGCATAATTTTTGGCTTAATTATTTGTTTTGCTGAATAAAACAGCTGCGCAACCGGCAGAAAATTGGGAGGTGGGGATCAATTTTAACATGCTTACAGCAATGCGCCCCTAGTTTTGTTTTTTACTCCATGCCCCAAGTGATCAGATAACAAAATTCTATAACCCCACCCCCTTACCAAAAGGTAAGAACAAAAAAAGGTCTTCATTTTGCCATTAAGAAAATTGAATTTCCATTTTGCCACCATTGATTCTTCATTGCAGGATAAAACTTACAAATAAGTTAAATATATTTGTTTTGCAATATATGAAAAACAATAAACATCATTAACTTTAAAAAATCATGTTTATTCATTACCTGCTCCCCCCCCCCCTTTTTTTTAAAAAAACAAATACACTCTCTATGTCCCAGAGCTAGGTTTAGTGCACCCCTCCCCCCTCCAGGAAGGCAAATATTTTAGCCACCAACTGTTATGAAAAAATATATGAAAAACAATAAACATCATTAACTTTAAAAAATCATGTTTATTCATTACCTGCTCCCCCCCCCCCTTTTTTTTGAAAAAACAAATACACTCTCTATGTCCCAGAGCTAGGTTTAGTGCACCCCTCCCCCCTCCAGGAAGGCAAATATTTTAGCCACCAACTGTTATGAAAAACCATGCAGATGGCTTACAATGTTGCCCTTTAATATAAATTTTAAAAAATGCTGCCAAAGGCGGACTGCTCCCCCTACCCACTGCTATCTAACTACACTGTCCCAAACTATTATATGTGCTCCTAAATTCAACAAATTGACTCCCTGTGGGGCGTACTGCCACAAGTTATGAATTACTGGAATACATTGACTTGACTTACATTGTTGATTATAATCGTTTATAAATATATTCTTTTGGGTGGTTGGGGGTGAGGGGGGGGAGGGCTCATTGTACCTAAGAATAAGAGGGGATGCCCAAAAAAGGATGGATGCATCAAGGGAAGTCTAAAGTTTGACTTTTCTGCTTACGTAAATTAAGGACTGCATCTAATATAAATCATTTGATAAAAGTCAACGTGAGAACGAACTCTCCTTGTTTACAATTCTGACAAATAGCAACCAAATATACAGTATTTTTTACTATCTTCTTGGTGGTTTCTGATTATAATTGTTTTCAAAATTTCCCCAATAGATCAGCTATAGAGGAATACACACAGTGGGCCTAAAGCAGCAGCATATAAAAAAAGCAGGCCTGTGGATGTCCGCAAGATCCTTTACACCCCATCCCCCTCTAATTGTCTGCATCTGAACAGCCCCAGCTCCCCAATCTCTGCTGGCATCCTTTTTGAATGATCGACTAGTGTGGGGCCCCAGAATGCAAAAGGTTAATCTGCTTTAAGAACTAACATGAATTTTACAAACCTTCTAACATTTCAGTCACATGAGATGGATCTACTGCAGTATAGTAGGTCTGAGGGAATAAATTTCATTCATATTATTTGACAAATTTAGTCACTGTACAAAGTCAGAATGTTTTATGTTGAAGAAGTATGTTTCCACTTTATTGAAAATTTTCTTATAAAGATGTAAGTTTTAATTAAACATGGTGAGTCTTGGAGTCTTCTCTCTAAATTTTTTTTTTTTTAAAGTATTTTAAAAAATTCATTACTTATATTTTTATTCGTTAAGAAATAAGTGGGTTCAGTACTAGATTGAAAGTATTCTCTACTAGATTAATTTTCTCTTGTTTTCTATACCTTTTCAAACTGAAACCTTTCATGAACCAATAAAGGAAATATTGAAGTGAGGAGGCGGGTGTTTCTGTACTGATTAAAAAGGGAAACGCTGAGATAGACATCTTCTTTACTTGGAAGCCACACACCAGGGGCTGACACCTGTGAGACAAAGAAAGATGGAAAGAAATATAACCGTGGAAAGATATCTTAGTAAAATATTTAAAGTAAACAGTATTTACTTACCACTAGTTAGTAAAGAAAAGGGTAACCAGTTTAATTCCTTAAGTTTATGCTAAGCACATTTTATAACATTATTTTAAGACATTACAGCTATGCCGCCTTTAATACATTTGATAAAGTGTCAACATATGAGAATAAGTTTAGTACTTTAAATAAGAGGATTTACACAACTTAAAAATATAACAAAACATTGTTACAACACTGTTTTTGCTGTACAAACATTAATATATAGTATTTCATTTATAATTAAAGTGATTATGAAGGCTGCAAAAAGGACTTGAGTTTTATGCTATCCAAAAATATGACTTGGTGAGTCAGGCCAGCCACACATAGGAGGACTTGTCGACACATACCCAGTAGGTCCCACTGGAAAATGGTTTTAAAAATATTATATCTTAAGTCTTCTTTCAAAAATATGCTGGTTATGCTAATGGCATGGAGTTCTCAAAATAAATTTTGAACATTGAGATCCATTATATAAGTCTTAAATAAAATGGAAGCTCTTTGCTAGAAGAAGAGAATCGGAAGACACTATAGAAATTTAAAAATGTGTACCATCATATAAATTATAGGCCTATTATTTTATACCAAATCATTTTTAAAATTCTGTATTAAAGAGGATAATACATCTTTGTAAAATGAAGCTACACAAAATATGAAACATTTATCACTAAAGTGTTGACTTGAGAGAGCTGTTCTTGTCAGAAGTCTTCTCACATGTTAGTCTCTTTGCTTACTCTAAACAAGAACTACAGTGTTGGCAATTATTATTATACATACTATTTAATATGTTTTTGTACACTATTAATTAGGGCACATAGATTTTAAACTCAATTTTTCATTAGCAATATATAAATACGATTAATATATGTAGCCATGTGTTGACGTGGCTTATTTTACAGTTTAAATACACAAACAATGAAATGCAGGTCTGAGAACTATAGCTTTTAATCTTGAGGTACAAGCCGTTGAACAGACAGTCAAATCTCTCACACATGTAGCTGACCCGAAGTATTCTTTCCACATCCACGGGTTAAATCACCCGCCTTACATAGCACAAAGTCACAGGGAACCAGCGTTACAAGCTAATTATGGGTCAACCCCGGGGCAGAGATGGTTATTCATGTATGTAAATAACCAAACATAAAATTTAAGGCCCAGTACACAGCTGTGTGTTACTTTAAATGACCATGGATGTGTATGTGCTTGGGGTTACCCACAGCAGTTACACTATGAGAGTGTATTCTCTAACTCTAATTCTTATCAGTGGCATACTGCAGCATATAAAATGTTACAAATAGTGGCACATTGCCACATATAATTTATAATTATGTATACTTTCTAGCAGCTTGTTTTAATCAATTCAAAATTATCTTTTTATTAGCATAATTTATTTATAATTCATATAAATAGACATTGAACATTTGACCGTTTTGAATATAGTATATAGGGTTACTTAGTGAGTGTCACTTTTCACTTTTAATAAGTAATAATTAACTTAGTAGTTGTCAGGGAATGAGTATGTTCTTTTGAGAATATTAATTACATGTTGAAATGTAGACTATAGAGAGGAGAAATGTAATTTATTGTAATTTTACTATGAAAATTGTCAACACTTTTAGTCTATAACTAGACCATTAAATAGCGGGACTTTAAATAATGCATGACAGGACATGTATGAAACATACATTCCTATATGAACACTAACACACTAATAATTATCGATTATTTTCAATATGATTGAGCTTGGGCTTGAATTCAATGGATAGGAATAGGATCCCTTCCCAGATCAAGATCCGATGAAGTGATACAAAAAAATATAAAAGCTGCTTACCGCCTGAATCTGAAGATCAACAATGCACCTGAGTGCTCGCCTTGGCATTTTATTTAACTATTAATGTTTTAGACTAGACAATAAACTAACGAAGTGAGTGTTGATTGTACCAACACTAGTAGTGTAGTTGACTTGATGCCCGCTCCGTTGCAAGGGACGCTCACAGACAAAAGGCTAAGGAGGAGGGTTCATAAAATATAATACAATTTTTATTTATATTTAAGTTTTTAAAAAATTAAATGACTAGTTTTTAGATTTATATATTTATTTAAAATAAATATTTAGTTTTAAAAATAATAAATAGTTTGTTCTTTTGTTTTACAGATAACATAACTGCCTTAAAAGTTATTAAGTAATTTCTCCCTCTCCGAACGTCTCATAGATGGCGCTTCTCAGTCGACCTCAAGACCCAATAAATGAAGGATTTTACAGATTATTTTAGAGTCCCCCCCCCCCCCCCTTCTCCACACTTTCCGACCACACACACTCTCTCTCTCTCTCTCTCTCTCTCTCTCTCTCTCTCTCTCTCTCTCTCTCTCTCTCTCTTTCTTTCTATCTCTCTCTCTCTCTCTAATATCCCTTCGCTCCATCAAATGGTTGACACCACTGTTGCATTTAACTACATCTATATTAACATGTAGGAATTGAAACTTTTAAACCATGTAAATATATAAAATATGAGCTTCAGTGTTTATTTTTTAATGTATGTAATATCAGTGCTTTGAGATAAATTTCGATCATTTTAATATTTGGGTACTGTCTAAAAAGTATGTCCCACTATTTTATACAATGTTTACACCTCTACCACTGTCGCTAATCTCGAATCTATACTAAATACTTTCCCCTAAAGTAGGTCACACTAATCACACTTTCGAACTAATAAAGTTTTTAGCAAAATTAAAACTAATTAAAATGTTATTTAAAACACACCTCATTAATCAATTATCATCTTTGTAAATTTTAACGTCATCAAAATTCCGGGCCAGAGGAAGACCAGACGTAGTGGGCCGTCCATAAAGTACGTCACGCTCCAGAAGGGGGGGGGGTGTAAGAAAGTGTGACAGTTTGTGACAGGGGGGGGGGGGCATTTCATCACCCAAGTTTCGGAGCTTTTAAAAATAATTTTCAAAAATTTTTTGAAACTGTTGAATTAGTTTTATGTCAAAAGTGGGCCGTCCATAAAGTACGTCACGCTCCAGAAGGGGGGGGGGGTGTAAGAAAGTGTGACAGTTTGTGACAGGGGGGGGGGGACATTTCATCAACCAAGTTTCGTAGCTTTTAAAAATAATTATCAAAAATTTTGTGAAACATTTGAATTAGTTTTATGTCAAAATAGCATGAAATGCTTATCTCCTGAATGTGTTGTTCACGATTCCTCTCGCTAGGAGCGCTAGTATACTGTTGCGAAGCCTTGTTTTATGTATAGCCTTGCAGAGATCAACATGAGTTTTCAAAGTAGAACCATATGATCTTTATTGTCCATCTTTGCAGACCAGCTTACTTGATCGAATTTGTAAAGTATGTCACTTATACTTTGCCTCACAAACAATGTTGAAGAAACATGCAGGACAACACAGAGCTCGGGCGAATGTGCCAACCCAAACTGTTCCAGAATCAGGTCAGATAAAACGCATCAGTCCTTTGAGAATCACTGCTAGAAGGCAAAGAGAACTCATGGCAGTTATTGCCAGAAGAGTAAATGCACATTCAGAGGATGTTGAGTGGCTAGATGAGGATGAAGTTGATCTGTCTGCAATTGTCCTTCCAGGAAATGATGATGGTGAAAGATTGATGCCAGTCATAACTATGGATGAACACTTCACTTTACCATGGATGGGTGATGTCCAGTGAATATTTTTTTGAATTAAACATAATTCAAAGGCCCATAATAAACAGATTCAATATAGCACAAGAGTTTGTCTCATAATTTGTCAATCTAGTCTATTTTTAGTCAAATTGTTTTGTTTCCTTTTTATCATTTAATCACTGGGTGAGGTCAAGTTTCGCTAATCTACTTCTTATCCAGTAAAAAGTTTGCATAATCGGAAATAATTTAAATCTTGACCTCACCTTTGTAAATGAAAAAGCAGCAGATAAATGATGTGTATTATATAATTTTCTAGTGGTTTTTTTTTTGCAATTAATGTTTTCAAATTCAATCTAGATTGAGTTTCTGCTTCAATGAATAGCTGTGACAACTGTTGACAATTAACTATTCTATTAAAGTCATTTTAATAATGTGATAGTTCTTTTAAGTGGAAATTTTATATTTTAATACAGTTTAACAGTGAAGTGTGTTTTAGATTAAATTTTAAATAGGTGTTAATTTTTTTGTTAAATTTGTTCGAAAGTGTGACGTACTTTAGGGGGGGGGTCCGAGATTTGTGACAGTTTGTGACGGGGGGGGGTAAAAATGGTCAAAATAGCGTGACTTTCTTTATGGACGGCCCCTAGGTGAATTGACGGTTAAGGACACTTAAAAATCGACAACATAAACCTCCAGCAGACATCACAACTTGTGATGCCTCCCTGGTAAAAGTGGACAGTAGAAGAACTATCATATTATTGAAATGACTTAGTAGATTAGTTGAACATTTCTCCCAGTTATTCATTGAAGCAGTAACTCAGTCTAGATTGAATTTGAAAACAAAAATAAATAACCCTTTAAAATCAGACTTGTCAGAACACATCCATCACAACATAAAGTTAAACATCTCTGTCAGTTTCAGGTTTAATATGTATGATAAAAGAAATTTTGTTAAATGTTTGACGTCACATATTATTATTACTCTCCCCCACCCAGGGTCCCACTTTATTAGACCCCACCCCCACCCCGAGCGTGGCGTACTTTATGACTTATATTGATTTTATTCATTCCTCAATGAAAGTTTGAGACAATGGTCCAGAAATCATCAATTTATTATTTTTATTTTTAACAATTATTTTTAAAAATATTTTTGCCGTGGGGGGGGGGGTATCACTTATCAGCACATGAAGTAATTTGCTATTTGGCTCATGTTAAGTGATACTTCAAAGGTTTATTTTTGCAAATCAATTTTATATAGACCCAAAACTAATTCAAAATCAGTTATGATGTGCAGCATGCCATTTCGAGTTATCATCCATTGGTATTTGTTGAAGAACAGAGCTTTAATTAACATATTTCGGAATTACCTGTAGATTTCTTCCTCTCGGTAAATGAGCGTCTCGGGTGAATTCAATCAACAACAATGGATGACTACGAAACTGTCCAAACTGGTGGTCTCAAATTAAAAGGCGTTTCGAGCCACGGTGGCAAAAAGTAGGTTAATAAATATATTTCAGAATCTACTGACCTTTATTTTACATTTCGGGTAGTAAAAACTAACTTTCTTCTTGTTGGCTGACTAAGACTAAGATTCACAAAGTGGGTGACTTGGACGACCTAAAAATATATGATTTTGATGATGTTTATTGTCATTGTCTGATCACTGATATTGATATTATTGTCTCACCTGCTCTTACCCTTGAAATACATTTTAGCGTTTCTGAATGGGCTCTTTCAGCCATTTTCTTACATTTTACCCACTTATATCCAGGTTAAGGCTAAGAGTAAGAGACTAAGGCAGATACTTTGGTAAAAAATTTAAACATTTTGTAAAAATAAACCATGGCATAGTAAAGTTGAATAGAGCTAATTTTTTTACAGAATTATAACACCAAAATCATATTTTTAGCTATTGTAGTTTTAAAGTTATGAATTTTTAAAGTACGACGTGGTTTGTCCTTTTTTTACATGGACTGCATCTCCACATTCTGTGACCTTATTCCGATGATCACGTCATGCGCAATGACTATATAGTTTATATAAGTATAAGGCAACGAATCCCTTATCACTTAAGTACTGTTTAAGGTCAACTTATTTTAAACTTTCAATTTTGACACATGAATAATTAATTAAAGCTTTCCCTGACCAATGGTTTAATAGTTTTTGCACTCGGCAAACTCTTATGAATGAAACTCAGAGATAGTACTACGATATAGCTGTTATGCAAGTGGCTGTGAATAGTTGCCAATGACAACATGTTGCACACGGAAAATTCTGATCATTTATGATATGGACTCTACAGGGTTTTTAAAGCTCAAATTAAAACGTTCCAGTTTAAATGTCTTCAAAATGCATTCTGAAACAAGTTATCAAATATTTTGATGCATATACCGGTAGTGGTAATAATTAAATAATTCCTAAGTATCTGCAACTTCCGCCATTAAAAAGGGGGCACGGCCAACGCCATGTCGAAATTAGGCTGAGCCACCTTATGGTGATATGGGTCACTGGGACAAGCGTAACAAATGTGGGACACGACCTACATCAATGAGAATTGGCACAGATATTTATCAATATCTAATGCTTATACAGATTTAATCAAAAAGGGCCTTATCTTATGATTTCACAAAAAATTTTGTATGCGAAGATGCCTTATATATACCAAAGATTGTCAAAATAAAGGTCGATTGAAAAAAGCAAAATAGCTGGATGGAAATGTGGGCCAAGATGTCTTCCAAATTATAAGGCCGGAAACGGAACTCAAATATATGTCGATAGAACTCATTTAATAATAAATAGACACACACATCTGAAAATTAATAACTGGGATTTTTCGGCACTGACACCCATTTCCGATACACAAAAAGTAGTAGTCTCCCTTGTTTCATCTATAAGGGGGTAAATTTTGAGTTAACGGTATGGGTTTTGCCAAGAGTTTTCTTCTTCTTCTTCTTTATTTTAAGGGCCCACGATCAATGAATTGATCATTCTGGCTCCTATGTTTCAGAGAGGTTTGCGATGTTACTGTCTATGGGTTTCAATGGGATACTTCACTGGTTGCAAGGGCGACTCAGCAGTGGTGTTATGAACTGGGGGTTGGAATACAGGAGGCAATAGACACAAATGTATCGAGTGTAGCCGCCTCAACTGTTGCTTTTGGAAGCTTGTTCCAGTCCCCTATTGTCTTCGGCAGGAATGAGGAGCTTCTGTACTTCGTTCTTGTTTTTACCAGCCGGAACTGTTTGTCGTGACTTCGTCGCAGTCTGGGGGGAAGATTAACGAGTTTCTGTTTGATTCCGGAGCAGTGCACCAGTCCATTTGTTATCTTGTACAACATGGTGAGCCTGGATAGTCGTCGTCGTTCTTCCAATGTCGACCAGCCCAGTGTTTCCAGCATGCTGCCAACACTCGAGGTGCTTCTGTAGCGGTTCATGACAAAGCGTGCTGCCCGTCGCTGGACCGCCTCCAACCTGTCTATGCTTTTCTGGGTAAATGGGTCCCAGACTGTAGAAGCATACTCTAAAATAGGTCGGACAAAGGCTTTATAGGCTTTTTCTTTCACGCTTGAGTTGCCGATCTTCAGATTGCGCCTTAGGAACCCCAGGGTCTTGTTTGCCCGGTTGCACACACTGTTAATGTGCTCGTCCCTAAGCGCAGTGACGTCACATTGGGGAATCCCAACACTGGACTTGGGGTGAACATATCTATTCTTTGAAGGACCCGAACGATTTGTGTTATAACATTCCTGTTCTTTATTGAGCATTACTTGCATCATAAACATATGAAGCATATTGAAATGAAATTTTCCATTAATTCTCAAAAGACTAGATTTTTCCAGTTTTCAATGACCTTGAATACATCTTATTCTTCAATGTATCTCATGGCTATACCCTCCCCAGTACCCCTCCCAAATTTAACAAAAAATATAAAATAAGAAAACAATAACTTGCATTATGTAAATACAAACATCAAAATCTTTTTAGTTAGTATGGCACTGTAAACGGAAATGGACCAGGGGGAACCTCCGTGACCTATATACCGTGGAACACATCGTCGGCCTTACCGCTAACTCAAAACCAGCCGGCTAAGGTATAAACATCTCTGCACTTATGACTTAAGCCTATGCTATACAACTATACAAGCCTATTCTACATGATTACACACAATGAGTTTGAGATTTTTCGTTGAAAACAAACATCCAAAATCCCTAAAGTAATAGACACTATTGTCTGACTGGCTGAACTATTACTCACTCTTAACGCCTTTGAATTCAATATATAATCAATGGTCATTTCTTTGACCCAATTAGTGGCGTGGCCATGGGTACAAAAACGGGCCCTAGTTTTAGCTATGCCTGCCTTTTTATGGATAATTTTGAATACATGTTAGAGAAGACATTTAAAGAATTTTATAAGAGATACATTGATGACGGCATTGGCATCACTACAATGGAAACAAATGAACGCCAAGAATTTAATGATTTCCAAACATCCATAAAATTTACTTCACAAATCTCTGGACATTCTGTCAACTTTTCGGATATTGCCCTAATCTTAAAAGAAAAAGATTATTCACATCTGCCTACTACAATCATCTTCCCACCCCGAATCATGCAAAAACTTCATACCTTTCTCCCAACTTCTCAGACGATGTCGCCTATGCCAGTACTATGAAGACTCTTTAGATATGGCTAATGAAATGATGGACTTCTTCTGCTCCAGATCTTATCCTGAAACTATTCTTGTCTTGGCACTCAATCATATCAGCACTATCACACAGAATGATGCTTTCGAGCCTCGTCCAAAATTTAAGATGAACCAAACTCATTCTAACCTACCACCCTCACAATGTGATTGCCAAAAAAGTATTCCTAAAGAACTGACACATATTTTTTGCTGACCCCAGCACCAACAGGGCACATTTTTCTCATCCCCTCTGCTTATTATCTTCAGACGGGACAAAAGTTTAGGTGGCCTTCTGGTTCAGTCGCCTTCAAGCTGACTTGTCTAACCAGGGGACTAAGCCTCGCTCAGAATTTGCTCAGAAGCCGTTTAACCATATCCACCTCAACATATTGTATACCCTGTCCCTAGCGATTGGGTGTAGCACACCCATAAACTTATTATAATGGGAAAAAAGTGTTTCTGGCTATTCTTGGCAACTGGGTGGTTACACCCATAGTCTTATTTCACAGTAAATGGTTCTCTTCAGAGGCATAGCTAAGTGGGGAGCAGAGGGGACACATGTCCCTGGGCACCAGACCTGTTAGGGATGCCAATATGGGCTTTGATATTATTCTATTGATGAAAATAATGGGTTTGAGAGTTGAAAAAAGAAAATGAGGCTCTTTAAAATGAATCTTGTCCCCGGGCGCCAAACACTCTAGCTACGCCTCTGGTTCTGTTTATTTTATTTTCTTTTTTTACTATGTGGCATGATTTATTTGCCTTGAAACCAAACTCCCTTCACGGATCACATAGTTTCTCCCACCGAAGCATTTCTTTTGTACATTAATGGAAAAATGATACAAACAATAGTTGACTGCACCAACAGGGGAGGTGAGAAAGTAAGAGGAGACAAATGGCAATGGAATGGTGCGCTCTAAATGAAAGCTTTTATTGGTTACCTACTACTACTACTACTACACACTGGCAATCTTCATCTCAATGGCATTTCAGTGGACTTTTTATTCAGCTATGTTGATTGAAATAGTATTTTTAGGCTGGGCACATTTTCATTGACGAGATTTAGCAAAATTCTGATTCATACTTCTTTTGACAACAATGTGATACTAACTAGATCAATCCTTTCTAGCTGGTGCCTCTTTGATCCAATAATAAGAGAAGTATGAGAAGCATTCCTGAGTATTTGGCGAGGTATTATGTTCCTGGAGAGAACATCACAGTAGGTGAGCAACTGGTTGGTTTCAGAGGTCGGTGCAGATTTATTCAAAATATGCCAAGCAAGCTCGACAAATATGGAATACAAATCTCCTGGGCCTGTGACTGTGAATCGACTTCGAACTATCCTCTGAGAGGATGCCCATATCTCGGCAAAGAAAATGCAAGTGCCCTGCCAGCAAAGAGAAATGTTGGGATATCCTCAGAGACTGTGATTTCTCTCACAAGGGACTTGTCTGCAATTTCAGAACAGACTATTATTTCATTCCCCTACAACTTGCAGAACGAATGGCCAAGAACAGACTCACACTAGTTGGAACAGTGAAATGGAACAAGATGTTCCTACCCAAGGGGTTCAAGCAAAAGTAGTCTCCCTAAGAAGATTATCTGATGGGTTCACTGAACATCTTCGTGATATCAAACAGGCTAAACTTTCCTTGGTCTCATCCTATTTCAATTGAGATAAAGGCACATCAGATGTTTTCATCACAGCACTGATTTCCTGTACTAACACACCAGCGAGAGTTAGAAAGGAAAATACATTTATTCAGATTTCCAGCACAATTTCACCATATGGAATCAATCAAATACTCTCCTAATAGTGATAATAATAATTTCCCTTCATATATTTTCTTTTTCCTTATATTTTACACATTTCCAAAAAAAAATTTTCCTTAAAATATTATTTTTCACAGTAATGATTCATAAATTCTTTTACTTCCTGTAATCTTTTGGAAAGAACACATATTTTTATTTTGTAAAACCCAACTTCCAGCAATAACACATTCATGGCGAACACCAAGCACTTACGTTTTTGAACTGTTTTCTATTTCTTATTGTTTCTTCTTTTGTCCTGTCTGCTGAAGAAGGCATTTAGCAGAAACTTTCACTTTTTATTGTCCCATCTTTATATTTCAACCTGCCACATACCTTGTTCACTATTTCCTACTGTAAGTCAAAGTCTTTAACTTTATTTTAAACACATTATCACTATTAATTAAAAATGTCTTCTAAAATTTGTATTAAATCTATGAATCTATCAAGCCTATGGCATGGTTAGCAATGATCAAACTCGTACATGACACTCAGTATCGGTTAAGTCAGGATCATTTTAGTGAATTTAATTATACCTCCAAACAGCCACTATTGTTTTTGCATATTTGGTAAAAGTGTAGTTAGTGACAGGGATTTTGCCAAAGGTTGTCTCACCCTAAGTGCAGTGATGTCACTTTGGGGAATCCCAACACCGGACTTAGGCTTCTTCGGGTTACTAGATCAGCAGTTGATCCTCAAGATGTGTATGATAACTTTTTCATTCTTTACTGAGCATTGTTGGCATCATAAACTAAATCTAATGATCAATACAGGGATAAAGTGATAAAGTTAATATGAAATTTATTGAAATGAAACTACTTTCCAATCATTTTTATTAAAATTCAGCTTGCAAACAAGGTTCAAAATAAATTTTTAAAAAGAAACTCATCTTTGCTGAGACCACAAGATGAACACTGGAAAAAAAGACGCACACATTGTTAAAAGGGTTGTCTTTTGATTGGGTGAAAAAAGAAGTACCTGTATGTTATTTATTTCTATAATGACTCCATTTCACAGGACATTTCCCCAAACCCCTTTTTTTCAAAAACCAAAGTGCCACCTTTACACCCTTCATAAGACCCTGCCAGAGGGGAAGGTGGTATGAAAATGTTTTATTTTTTTATTTTATAAGGTGCGGTATTAATGGATAGATTGTGTCTATGCGACCATTATGTATTTTGTAACAAAGGTGTTTCATTTTATTTCTTTTTTGATGATTTCTGATGATAGAGGGGGAGGGAAGGTCAAATAAATTATCCAAAATAGTGTGACATCATTTATGGATGATTCCTAAGAAAGGAAGTTCAATATTATACAAATATTTATATAGATGCAAATAATTAATTTAAAACACTAGATTTTAATATTGAAAAAAAAAATATATATCTATATATTTGGTAATCTGGATTTTAGGCCTAGCATTATTATGATTATTAACCTGGCCTAGTCCTAAATAAAATAATTATTATTTTGATAAACTTATTTAAAGCCAAGACACTACAAATATAATTATTTGGCCTCTACAGTGCCTACATAATTACTGATTTGGCCTAGTTGATAAAATCATATAAAATTGGCAGTGGTAAAAATCAGCCAAAATAGCATGACATTTATTATGGATGACCCTTTATGGCATGTCACCATATAATAAGACCTTAAACAATACATTTTCTTAAGTTAAATTCCAGAATCTAAAGTGGCTTAACTCCGAGTTCTGTATTTTATAACTATTTCAAAGTATCCAAAACCCTGAAAAACAAAACTGAAAACTATTAAGACCTACCTGCCCTAAAATTAGTAATGTAAAATAAAGGCATTATCAACAAATGAACCTTTATTTTTTCCTTGTTTCTTTCATTTGTGAATTTTATTTAATCCCATTAATGTACAAAAGCTTAAAACATTTATACGTGATGGTAAGGAATTATGGGTTATTAGATCGCTTGTAAATAATTAAAAACATAGATAGCAAAAATTATTTATGGTGTTTAAAAAAAAAAAATCTCACAGCCTACTGATATATTGTTGATTGTTTTGCTCATTTAGAAAGAAGAAGAAGGACAAAGATAAGAAAAAAATGGAGGAAATGGTTAAAACAATCAAAGACCAAGAGGAGCAAATAACTAGGCCTACAAAAACAAAAGCAGAAATTGCTTTTGAAAGAGCAAAGAAGAAGAAGGTAATTTGTTATTGTTCTCCTTATTACTATGAATACCGGTATTACTACTTATTGAAAGACTTAAAGCAGATTGCCAGAGACTGGAAGCATGGAAAGAAATTAAGGGGAGTTGACTTGAAAAGGCAAAGAAGAAAAAGACTAGGGTACTAAAAGAAGAAAAATAAAGTATTTTAATGCACCTTTCAAGGGTTATTTTTAAAATGTAATGTTAATTCTTGAACATTTTTTTTCATTATAAAAAGAAGTGTTCAAAATAAGGGATAATCACCTTTGGCTGTACAGTAAAATAGAAGAGTTGAGATGCATATGATATATAATACTAATACATGATTTAAATTAGTGTAGACACTTATTATTTTACTTTACTGGTACAAATAAAATCTTAACATTTGCGCCACTAAAAATGTATTATTGTAATTATTTTAACAGAATGAACAACAAATACTTGAGAGAGCAGCAAAAAGTCACAAGGAACGGATCATGGTGAGTCAGAGCATTTTAAAATAGCTAGGTGGTTAAGTTGAAAAAAAAAGAATATTTTGAAAGTTTGGGTCAGTATTCTGATCATTTCCCCCATACTTATAGCATAAGAATTTTAACATTGTTAAATATTTAAATTTAAACGCATCATATTTTTGTTTATTAGTTAAAAAATTGTTGCCATAACCAATTACAGTAAAAAAAAAAAATAAGCCAAATAGACAAGGAGTGGGAAACCTACTGTCCACAGAAACATTTAATCTGCTACTAATTAACCATTGTTAAAATGCAAAATACTGGATAGACTTGAGTGTCATAAATTTATGACAAAACTGTAATGTTTACTTCACATCTTAAACAGGAGTTCAACCAGCAGCTGGATAATTTGACAGAACATTTTGATATTCCAAAAGTCAGCTGGACCAAATAAACATGCTTTTTATGAATCTGAAGTCTTTGCAACATGCCAAGGGTTAACTAAGGTCATCATTTTTTATTTTGTAAATATAAACTCTGATCATGTTTTTCATTAATGTAAATATTAGTCCAAGGTTTCATCAGTGTAAATTGTTAAGAAAAATATGAAGAAATTTAAAATGTTAAAGCTTTAACTATGAGTTATTTGAATTTTTTTGAAATACGCAATTTGGTTGGTGGAAACAATAAAATGGTAATAAAACAACAATGAAGTTCTCATTACTTTTATTTGCTTTAGTTTTAATTCTCAAATTGTTAATACTGTCATAAGTGATACACAGTGTCAAGATGAGATTTTTTGCCAATTTAATGCTTTGATAAAAATACTACTAAAATTTTATATGTGACGGTCCAACTGACAGAGATACAAGCATGTATATTATGTTTTTTTTACAGTTAAAGGAGAATGTAACATGACAATTAATGAAGAAATATTTCTTTACTTAAATATGTGTATTATCACATAGTTTTCTATATAGATGGATGGGCAACAATAAAATACAGTCCTTGCATTGTGCCATTTCATGTAGTCATCCCTCCACCTGTTATTTAATAAATTATACAAATATAGAGGAATATATTTACAATACAATACTGCATCACAACTGTTTGAACTGGATGAAATGCTTGTAAAGGTAATAAGGCAAATGACAACTATTTAGCTCTTCTACTTCTAGCAGGATAATGAACTATCAAAGAATATTTCAAAGGTTTACTATTCTACTTCAAAGTTCTTTGACTGGATACTGGATGGACAAAATTGTAATTTCTGTTTATCCAAAACTTTTAATATCTTTTTTAAATGATACAGATGAGTAAGTGATACAGCCATAGCTCATTTAGCAAGCCAACATTGTTGAATATATTGTATTTGATTTCCGCATAAAACTGCTGGCAAGCATTTCATTAATTTAAATTTACTAGTGTTACTATCTTGATTATTATGGAGACCATACTATAAAAGTGTTGAAAGTTTATGATGAGGTGCTTGCATTATTTGCTGCAACTTAAAATTATAGCAACTTACAATATGATGACTAAAGAAGTAACAATACAATTACAATTGTCATTTAAAGTTAAAGATGACCTTCTTAGTGTTTCAAAGGTAATTGGTGATTTAAATGCATCAGACAAATAAAGATAAATTTTACTTGACTACTGGTAACATAAAAAAAATTCTTCTTGTCAGCTATTCATGACTTCTTCTGTCCAGTAAACAAAGAGCTTTGTCACACAGGAACTGACTTCTGAAATGTTTTTTAAAATACAAATGAAATTAATATGGTTTAACAGGATGATATGACCATAAAGTATTTAAAAAATCTCTCCTGGCCACCCATCCCCTTTCCTCCTTAATCCATATATTAAGTTTGCAAAAAAGGTAAAATTCCAGCCCCTTCCCCCATACACCACATCTCTTCATTCAAATAAATGGACTTGCCCCACCCCCACCCCAAAAAAAAATCAATTTATTAAGTTATTAAGCAATTAGATCACTGTAGACCATGTTTTAAAATGCGTTAGGGGATTTCACCATTGTCTGTTTGGCCTAGCCAAAGGGTTCCTAAAAATGTGAGCCTTCTAGCAGACCTGGAGCAAACCAGTAGCTCACTAGAGTAATTACTGTTTGCATTTACTAGATGGCACTTAGTGATCTACTGCTGTCTTACCGATTTGACTATGTGGGCAAAAATAAATAAATAAATGTATAATTGATCCGCAAAGCCAAGGGCTGCAAAGGAAATCTCAAATGAAAAATTTGTTTTTAATGAATTTAAATAAATGTATTCATTATTCCAAATTAACTTGTTAGGATGACTTTGAGAAAAAGGTGTGTCACAGAACGTATATGAAAAGAAGGCTTCAGTTCTGACTTGTCACAAACTATTTGACGTAGTAGTGGTCAGTAAAAGACCGCTCCTGCTGTGATTTATATTTTTGCCATCTAGGCTCTGAGAGAGACAACACCATGCAAGACATAATTAATCCAAACAATATCAACTGTCAAAGTTGATAACGAACGGGTTATTTATTTCTTATTATAATGAAGTTCTTGAGTTCCACTATCACTTAATTAAAATGTTGATTGTCCATACTCCATGGGTCTGACAAAATCTAAGGCAACTTCTTCAACTCAACTCTATAACTTTACTGTTCTTCAACTGTTGCAACTCAACTACAGGTGTGTCTTCTTCCTCAACTGAACTATGGTTGTGCCCCCAAAACCCAAACCTTATATCTAGCTCTCGCAATATGACAAACTTCCCACAACTCTAAGCACATTGGTAATTGAATTACTACCGGTACATCACTAGTGACAACATTCTCCTAGCCAGATCGTTTACCCCTGGACTTCTAGGTTTTTTTCTTGCTTAGCTAACATACAATACGACTTGTACATGAACAAATAATCAGGTTGCATACAAGTTTATTACACAAGGTCATATATCATGATTTATATCTGTACACTAAATCAATAAATGGTATACTTTAATTTTATACAAGGTATACTAACTCACTCTTTACATCTGGTACTCTCTGATTATGTAATCAACACAGGTATGCCTGGCGAACTGACTTTGTCATAAGGTTCCTTTGTTGAATATACTCTCCAATCTCTATCCAGCACCCCATAAGACTCAATCCACTATCCCTTCTATTGGGGCTCTTGATGACTATCTCTGTTCTACCTCCTATCTGTAGAGCATCTCGAATTTCTATCGGGCTCTGATAGTCTAGCTCTCCATACCTCTCCGCTCATATTATACATAAACGCATCTTGTTATTTGCAAACACCGTGTTTCCAATCAGATTGAAACTCATGTTTGAACCTGAGCTCACTCTCCTCAAAAGCAAACTGAGATGGCTATCATAATTAATAAATACCTCAGTGGTTCTAATACCTTGACAGAGATCAAACAATTAAAATTACCTGAAGATAATGATGTCGATTCCTTAAATTGCTCAATTTTTTTTATTCCTATTTCTCTATCTCTAAGAACCAATGTTGACATAGTACTGTAGAGAAGCAGCAATTCATCTTTGTTAGATGTGTCATTAAGCTTATGCAAAGATTCTAGAAACTCAGATCTTTCTAGTGCTTTGTTAGTACCTAGAATGGGAAAAATATTGATATATAATTTAATATAAATAACCAAGTAATTGTCAGTATACGCCAGGGGAATAATTTTGAATTTAGTTGATTTCACTTTATTATTGCACTAATGGGGGTGGGGGTGTTCGTTCTGCCCAGAACTGCAGCCTAGGGCTGGGCTCACCACGCTGTACATACAATTCAACAAACATAATAAAAAATAAATAAAATAATGAGTTGACATACATTAATTAAATAAAATAAAACAAATGTATATTTAAAGCTATCTACATCTCAAGCCATGGACGACAGTACCATCATTTTTCGGTCAGAGGTGGGAATCGGTCAGGATCGTAGAGATTAAAGAGATGCGTTTTGGGTGCAGTTTTGAAGGTTGTGATGGTCGATATAGTGCGGATGTGTAATGGAAGAGAATTCCATTGTTTGAGGGCACAGAAAGAGAACGATCGTTCACCGTATGTTTTTGTGCGAGTCTTGGGGACAGAAATAATATGCGCGTCTGCAGAGGAGCGAAGCTGTCGAAGGGGTGAATAGACAGAGAGAAGTTCTGTTGGATAGGAAGGGGAGGAATTCGAGAAAAATTTGTGGCAGAGAATAGAGAGTTTGAAGTCACTACGTGCTTGTATAGGGAGCCAATGAAGTAGTGGTGTGACGTGATAACGTTTTCTTGCCTTTAGAATTAGCCTAGCGGCTGAGTTTTGAACCTTTTGTAATTTTTCTAAGAAGTGTTTTGGTGAACCTAATAGAATAGAATTACAATAGTCAAGACGAGAGAGAACAAGAGCACAGACTAGGGTTTTTGTTGCACCAACTGTAAGATATTGGCGGATGGAGCTTATCTGACGAATGGCGGTGTATGCAGAACGACAAACGTGAGAGATATGCTTATCGAGAGACATATTGTTAGACAGAGTATAACCAAGATTCCTAGCAGAGAATGTAAACTGTATATCGGAGTTACTGAAATGAAGTGGGGAGAGCTGAGTTAGAGGATGATTTATGATCGCGAATAAAGAGTGCTTCCATTTTGTTATCATTAAGCTTCAACCTGCTGAGACATCCATGTCTTGACATCATCAATGCTCTCCCGTTAAGTCCGGATAGCAGAATCAACAAGAGAGGGATGGATATGCTTGTATAACTGCGTGTCATCTGCGAATGACTGGCTCTCCACAGCATGCCTCCCGAACGAGAGGAGCAGTGGCCTGGTATACATTATGAATAGAACCGTGCCCAAAATGGACCCCTGGGGCACTCCGTACACCAAGTAATCACTGTCGGAAAGACAGCCAATCGACGGCGACCGCCTGCGTTATATCGGAGAGATAAGACCTAAAGCAAGCCAAAACTGATCCCGAAATTCCAATAATTTTCTAGGGTTTTATAAAGGATTTCATGGTCAACAGTGTCAAAGGCCGCACTGAGATCTAAGAGGATCAGGATGGAGGTATCACCGCTGTCCAGTGCGAGCAAGAGATCATTGGTGACTCTTAAGAGAGCTGTCTCAGTGCTATGGAAAGGTCTATAGGCCGACTGATTAGGACTGAGAAGAGAGTGGTCGTTTAAGTAAACAAAAAGTTGTTTTAGTACAAGTTTTTCAATGACTTTAGATAAAAATGATAAGTTAGATACAGGTCTATAGTTTTTTTTATTATTTTCATCCAGACCAGGCTTCTTAAATAATGGTTTGATGACAGCTGACTTACAAATAGGGGGAAAAGTACCAGTACCAGAAAACAAGCTTTCATTGACTATATGGGTTATTGTTGGGAGCAAATGATCTAACGACTCAACCAACAGTGGGGTAGGGATGGGGTCCAAAGAACATGATGTAGGTTTCGACTTTAAAATAACATTTTTGACCTCTTGTTCTGAAACCGGTTGAAAAAGTTCAAAATGTGAATTAACACAAGAAAAAGGAGGCAAATCTAGGGGTTATATGTCAAGACGATCAAGCTCAGCGCAAATGTCAGCAATTTTGCTTGTAAAAAATTACAGAAAATATCCGGTTGCTGGAGCAACGGATACACTGAAGGAAGAGAAATACCTTTGCTACTCCCTCTGAGGTGGGCACAAACATCGAACAACTGCCTGCTGGTTTTACCCATAATTATCTTTTGGCTAAAATACAAAGTCTTAGCACGAGAAACAATCCTGGCCACACGTTTCTTGGCAGCATAATACATTTGCCTCAAAACAACAAGACCTGACCTCAGCGACTTATTTTCCGCACTACGTCGCTCTTTCTTGGCACTGCATAATTCTTCCCTGTCTGCAGCAAAGGACAATTTCCATACTTCCTCTCTTCATCAGACAGTAATGGTTGTGGCTTGCCTTTACTTTCCAGGAAGTCTCCTATTTTGTTTCATAACTTAAATACTCTGCTCAAAACTTTCTCACAACTTAGCCATCTTATAGCTGTGTAATATGGTAAATCTTGCAATTCTGTGTCTGTATCTTTCAACAGGTCTCTGAACTGTCTATGGTTGAGCCCATGTGACTTTATTAAATTCACCATATTCACCACAGGATTCAGTACACTGCTAATATCCATATATTTAGCACACAAAGCTTGCTGGTGAATAATATAATGCAGGCACATTGGTTATAGAATTTGTTTCTCATTACACATCTGCTTCACTTGTCCAACCAAGCCTTTCTTTATGCCACTTGTGTTCTTTCCTCCATCAACAGTCAGGCAACTGAGGTTAGTCCAGTCCAAGTTATAATCAGGAAATTTTTTTTTCAACTCATTAAATATATCCTCTCCGGTAACAGTGCCTTACATACTATGTAGGGAAGTCAGCTCTTGTGTTATGTTCATGTCTTCATCGACAACTCTAATGAATACAAGAAGTTGAGACTTGGAACAGCTGTCCAGCTATTCATCCATTGCAATTGAAAAATGGGGACGCTTGCATTTTTTGCTATTTGAGTCGCATGTCTGCAACACGCCGGCAATGGTATTTGTACCCAAAGCTACATTTTCAAATTGTTTTGACTTTTCTGAGCAAAGTTCCTCAGCCACCACCAACAAAAATCCCTTCACTACTTCACCATCTGTAAACGGTTTGTCACTTTTAGCCAGGATGTAGGCAACTTTATAACTGGCCTAAGTTAAGCATTCATTTTCATTTGAGGAGTTACTGAACAATGTCCTTTGAGATGTGAGTTGATTTTGAAAATTTAGAAAATTTTTCGGCACAAGCTTTACCCTCCCACTGTGCATATTTCTCCTGATGTTTGCTTTGATGATGACGGCGCAGGTTTTATATAACACACTACTGCGCGCCTCTATTTTAATTCGGTAAAAACATAACGTTCAAGTAAGCGGCAGCTGATCTTGGCAGGATACACGTAAATTTCAGTAATTTTTTTCCATCGACAAAAAGGTCTCCACGGGCCGGATGAGAGGGCCTCGCGGGCCTTAGTTTGAAAATCCCTACTCTTGAGTGAAGAAAGAGTTTTAATGTGTAATTTTACATAAATTTTTAAGGATTTGGTGGGTGATTATACTAAGTCATAGCTGTACACATTTTTCTGAACATGCAGTCCTACCAGAGAGGGCTGTTCTAAATTTTAAAAATACCTCAAGGAGCATATATAGCTTTGAAATGGATTCATTAAATTAAATAAATAATGTTTTTAGTGATATAAATCTGGGTCAATTTTGTAGTTTTTTTTAGACATTTTATTACTAATTGCAAAAAAGGCTGATAATAATTAATCTGCAAGCTGCAAAATGGCAGATAACTGATTACCTGTGCAACCCAAAAGTGAGCACTAGATAATATTAAACAACCAACAAATCGCAAAACCATGAGTACCGGTAATAAGATACATTTTAAAACAAAGTCCTGATCAGATAAAAGTTTGAGAATCACTCTTACAGCAGATGAAAAATAAGTCCACTTACAATCAGCATAGTATACATCCCAGACTGCCTCCAAGAATTCTAAAACTGATTTCAGTTTGCTTTCAGAACTTGCATCAGGAGTGAACCTGTCCAATAAAGATTGTGAAATGCAAGCTTTTAAAATACGGTACAATTCAACTATTTATCTTACTTTGATTTCCCAAATTTTTTTTCAACTTCAAGTCAAATTTTACCTGAAAACTTTAACACTAAGTTTTTAGTTTTGTTTTGATTTCCATACTATGTCGGTATTAACTTTGGTTGATTGCTTTTAAAAATTCTTGATAGTCAGGACCTGTATAAAACTTAACCACTGGGGTATTTGACATATCAAATTACACAGACATGGACATAACAAAGCAATTATCAAACATTAAGATAAAATTTAGTTATGTTTTACATCTAGTGGTTTACTTTTGAAATAGATAAAATCTGTAAAGATATTTTTTGGAACATTTCATTGAGTGAATGAACATGACAATACTCACACATCAGTAGACACAGAATTATTGGTGCTGGAGTCAAAAACATATTCTGTAGATAGGCAATTTCTGGCTTGTCTTTCCTTCTCTCTCTTTTTCTTTTTCATTTTTCTCCTTTGGTTTTTTGTAAGCCCTGATCCCATGCCGGTTTCCATGTTCTGTCCCATAGATGAGCCAGAAGCCTGATTGCTGCTAGAGGAGGATGACAGGGAAGCTAATTCTTGATCCCTTTGTCTTTTTTCAGAACAAATATGTTTTTGTATTTTTTTTCGCTTCATCAAAATTTGTTCAGTGCCTGAAATTGTATGACAGTATACAGAATTTTTTATTTAAATTTATAGTACAGTATGAGGTCATCCATATAGAATTTCATATTAATTTGCTTACTGAATCAAATGTGGAAACCCTCTATATTTGAAAGATACAAACAAATTTCATCTGTGGAATGTGTGTGGGAACCAAAATGTGTTTTGTGAACAGTTTTTTTTGTGGACATTTTAAATGTTTTTCAAGATTTTTTAAAATAATTTTTTTAAAGGAAATATAAATATCTTACCAGAATCTTCATCATCACTAATATAGGACGATGAGCCAACCAAATGGACTGGTTCATTTACATGACTTCTATGTTTGCTGCCAGTTGGGCAGCATTGGGCACCATATAATTTTACTTCTCGTGTTCGGGATAAGCTATCTAAGCCAGACAAGGTAGAAGAGCTGCTTGCATAAACAGCAATGTTTTCAGCTAAAGTTTCATTGGCTGGAACATCAGAGTCATCAATGTTTCCAAATAGTTTGCCGATAACTTTGGCCTTGAACTTCTGAAGGAGTTCTATAAAAAAAGAATAGGATTGAATTTATATTGCATTCATAAAGTAATATATAAATAATAAAATTTCATTTATATAGAAAGTCCTGCCAATGTTTGTAGCTTAATGCCTGCTCCATTGCTATTAATGTTGGAAATAGAGGAGAGTACCGAAATACTTAATAATTTAATACTAAAATATATTATTATTATTATACGTGGTTTTATATAACGTGGAAACCTCAGCCTAAAGCTGGGCTCACCACGTTGTACATACAATTTAACAAGCATAATCAAAAAAACTTTTAAAATTAATTGACATACATTAATTAAATAAAACTAAACAAAAGTATATTTAAAACTATTTACATCTCAAGACATGGATGACAATCAGTACCATCGTTTTTCGGTCAGAGGTGGGAATCAGTCAGGATAGTAGAGATTAAAGAGATGTGTTTTATTTAGACTAGTTAAAAACAATAGATGCAAAGTTTACCATAAAGAGAAAAAAAAAAGAGTTCAATTAAATTTAATATTTGGCTTTAAAAAAAATTATTTTAAACTCCACCTTGTGACCCTGCCTCTACTTCTCACCAAACCACTGACTTAAAGTCACTTAGACAACCAAGAGAAGTGATTATAAAGGTAAGTTAGTTTATTTCTTGAAATTGTAAGTAATTTAGTTGTAGTTGTAGGCTTAAATAGTTGCCTAAGTCTGGTTCTCATGATTACAAAAAAATTAATAAGTCTAAGTATAGTCTACTATAGTTTATAGTTATTAGAAATATATGTGAAGGTGACCTACTAAACTAATATGTCTAGAGTTTTGTCTTTGTAATTTGTGTAATCGTAATCTAACTCAGTCTAAGACAGTTAATGTATCATTTGAATTTGACATTTGTAATCAATTGTAATGCATTTTGTAGGCAGTTTTAATCTACAGAATCTTAGTACAACTAAATTACTATAGTCTATAGGCTAACACTTAGGCCTACTAACAATTAATTATAAGTAGGCCAAAGAAAGGCTTTGGCCCAAAAGTTAATATTATTAATATTAATCAATTTAATCTTACTTTTACAACAACTAGGCAATATATTTACAATATATATTTATATTATAGGCCTATATTTACTAATTTTTAAATAATTATTAATTAGGCTTAAAGTATACAATTTCAAAGTCAAATACAAATACTTCAAATAGGCCCTATTACTTAGAATTACTATTGACAATTGACAGTATTGAGTATTGAGTCTAAATCATCAACTGTTAGCCGCACCATTTATTTTCATACTAATAATTAGCCTAATTCATTTAGACTAATTGTTATTTTGGACAAGACTATTTGTCAATGAGTGACAATATATGCCAAGCAGAAGCATAAACATTACATTGTATTAGTATGACGGTATGTAGTAAGAGTAAGTAATAAACAATGATTGAATTTGAACAATGAGCAGACAGAGCAGCAATGACTGACATTTGAAATTGTTTTCAAAGTGAAAGTCTCATAAACTATAGAATAGAAAAAAAAAAGACTCCCAACCTTTGTGGCCTTTTTTTGAACCTCCAGCCATTTCCCGAATCCGTTAATTCTCGTTTCTTTTCAACTTGAAATAAAACCATATTTAAAAAATATAAATTGTGTGTTCTGTTCTGCCTACTACCAGCGCCCTAGAGCGCTCTCGTGCTTAGAAGAGTATGAGTAACTAATTGTGAAGGTGTAGCTAAACACCAGTACACACCATGTTGTACCCAAAAATTATTTAAATAAAACAATTCTTTTACAACCTTGTTAAACATCATAGAATATTACAGTATCGTATAAAATAAGCTAATATATTAATTGGTTTTAATCCTATTACAATACTAGGCACTGATAAAAAGTGACACTAGACCCATTCATGCATTACCATACCAGACTTGGTGATTGGAAGCTTTTTTTTTTTTTAAATATTTGTTTTAAATCTATACACATAATTCTCATAAATGAAAATTGTTACGTGCACCTTTGTTTACAAGCTTTTCGTTATAGGTGGTCAAAGAAAAATTAATTTAAAAAAGAGCTAAATTTGTATGCAATTAATTACTGAAATAATAAAGCAATATAATTTATTTTGATTTCCCTTAAGTGTTACCCAAATAATTGAACTAAAAGAAAAAAAGTTTCTTCTTCTAAAAGGAGGGGGAAAAAACAGCTTAATTAGTCTCTCTAAATTTTTTTAATGGAGACTGGTGTCGAGTATGGGAGTTCATGCGACTGAATATTATGTTTTATTGCGCGCAGTGTGTTTTTGAGAGATTAATTAAGTTAGTGAACACTCTTCCTGCGCTGGACATGGTGACTTATTTTTATGCTTATTATGACTATTGTCTAGTCTGTTGTGTGACGTACGTTTTATTCGGTAGGCAGTCTTAAAAGAAACTTTGTGGGAAAAGGTCGTGTTTTATTTCTCTCTGATAGCCAGATTCATAAAGTTAAAGAGACAAATTTCTGTAGAATAAATTTTAAAAACAATCATCAACTGAAAGTCTATTTAAAAACTCCTCTTTGCAACAGAGACTGGAACAAGCTTTCAAAGGGAACGGTTGAGGCGACAACACTAGACACATTTGTGTCTATTGCCTCAAGCCTTCAAACCCCTAGTGCATGATTCCCTCACAAAGTGGCACTGGAAATCAGTGAAATTTCCTCATCAACACCAGGCACAGAAACATTGCAAATCCCATCTACATGCATAGGAGCCAAAATGATCAATAAATTGATCGTGGGCCCTTAAGATATAGAAGAAGAAGAAGAGCTGCGCTATGCGCTAACATGTTTATATGAAATTAACCGTTTGTGAATTTAATTATATACCGGTAATAAAGTTGGATTCATTGTGAAAATGGACTTGTCTAGTAAAAACAAGAGTTAGGCAACTTGTTTTGCATGATTGTAATTTGTACTAGTACTGTTCATCTCTATCCTATGGCCATGGCTGCGTTGTTAATTATTGACTTTCATAAGCCCATGTACACATACACATTTTCCAGAAAAACGATTGGTGTCTTGAGGCCCGTATTGAAGCTCATGGTGGACACTTTGAACACAAACTAGTTTAATAAAAATTTAACGTTTGAATTAAAATGAGCTTTGGAATTTTAAAAAAAATTGATAACATAATTACTATTATGGATCATTAGTTTTCATCATTATGAAAAGGATTCCCTTATTTTTCGAACACGACACAGTGGTGTGCGTGTATGTATATCTTTTTTTTCTTCTTTTTTTTTTCATAGTTGCCATTGAAAATAGCAAATTTGTTACATAAGATAATAAATACATTTGCTGTATTTTACAATTATTTCTTACATTAAAAAATAAAGTAACACCAACATATAAATTTCTCAATTTTATTGACTTCAAATTTATTGTATCATACAAAGTTAATGTAATTTCAGTGTGGAATAATACAATTTTTCAGATAAACCACATGAAAACTGAAAAACTAAAAGAAATATAGCAACTGATAGGAGGCCCAAAATCTAGTTTTATAATCATGTTATCTTAAAAGAACCTACAATTTTAAATACAGTTAAGAATTAATTACATTCAGAATTTAAAAATAAAATAAAACTAACACTTCTCACAAGTTATTTTTACAAGAGAGAAAAAAACCTAGTTGTATTATTTGATGGACATTTCAATCATAATTAATATTCTCAAATTCATAGTCTCAAACTTGCTGGGAACTTCACATGTACATATACCAAGGTTACACTCTGAACTCTCTGGGTTTATTTGGATCCTCCAATTTTGCTAGCAATAATTCAGCTCCTTTGAATGTCATTTTACTAAGGGATTTTAGGACAGGCTGCAGATGGCTTGTGACCTTTTCTGTGATTGTTGAACATCCAACTTCCAGAAGGCTAAAATTATAAATACCAAAAAAAAAAAAAAAAGATCATGGAAATAGGCTCTCCCATAAGGCAAAACAAGATAGAACTTCTATTAGAAGAAATTAAATGACTGTATTCTTAAAGTCTATTTCAGATAGTGTATATCTTTATTATTTTAATTTAAACGCTTATAGAATAATAATTCCTTTCAGGGTAACATTTTACAAAACATAAGTTTGCAAGAAAAGTAATTTTAAACAAAGTTTTAAGTGTAATATCAACTTACCTCACTAGAATGAAACATCCCCTATTGCTTGCAGCCCAGACTTTAATTGCTGACTTTGGTAACGCTTCCAAAAGAATTGCAGAAAATAAAACTGCAAAAAGTGAATTCAAAATGTTATATGTCCATTTCTGAAACAATCTTATATATTTTTTGAAAATCTGTATAGAAAATATTGTTAAAATTAAAAGCATAATTTAATTTGTATAAAAGCATATATATTTTTTTTCTACATATCAGTTGACTTTATCTTTATATCTAGAGACATTTCTTTCAAAGCACCTTCTACAAAAAATTAAAAATATTATATTCTAATTATGCTTTTCTTTTTTTTAAAAATGGCATTTTATTTGTAAAACAACTTACTGCCTTCGCCCGCTTCCATTCTGGCCTTGTCATTAGCTATAATCTTCTTTAAAGCTATGTGACAAGCTGGATGTTCAATCATGTTAATAGCACCATCGGTGGTTGTGCATGGCTGTGCCACCAATTCTGCTATGGCTCTCATTGCTGGGACAACATCTCCTGAATTTAAAAATACAAATAGAAGGTCATAGTATAAAGAAGCATACAAAACCACTGGTAATTAACAAGTAATTTGGAGGTGAAAACACAAACCCACATTGGCTTCCAGGAGCAATTAAAGATTTGGTTTATGTAACTAAGTTGCCCCTTTGATCTGGGTTTCAGTCTGCACAGCTTATTTTGCTGCCTAAGAAAACAAATTTAAATTGGCACCATCACTGTGAAAGTAAAACCATTTCTTTACCAGAGGCATGGGTGATGATAGATTTGACTACAAGGGTCAGAGAATTTTGGCTCATCATTGTTTTGGCATTTGTCTCAAGGTACTTCAATAGGTGAGGTGACATGTAGTCCCGCAGCTCCTTTGCTCGAATAGTCTTGTCTTTCTTGCTGAAAATGATAAGTAATTTGGAAGTCTATAAGAGGAAATTGTTTAGTGCATTAGATGTTTGATAGATGGGTCCAGAAAATAAAATGTAGCTTTTTTTTGCATTTTATTAAGAGAGTCTGGCTAATAAAAAATTTAAAATGAATACTATGTAAACCAATATAAATGGAAAGAAACAATTCAATAGTTATTGGTAATGAGCACACTGTAAAACAACATTAAACTCTTCATTTCGCTAAGTTTTAATTTGAGCGAATTTCAGTGTTTTTTTTTTTTAAAGTCATATATTAAGTCTGCCTTCATGAATCTTATTTCAGTGAATAAAAGACCTGATAATTGCCTTAAGTTTTAGACTTGATGACTGCCTAAAGTTTTAGAATAAGCACATCAAGGTCAACATAGGTCAAATCATAACTTAAAGTACAAAAATTATGGAGAAAAAAATTAATGCGCAAGTTGTTCGCACAACCATCAAAAAGTGTAAAAATGTTTAAAGATAAAAGACATGGACACAGTGCAGGCGCTCATAACTCCACCATCTGAGCTTGTCAGTGACATATTTTAAAAATTGACCAGTACACAGATTAAGAAAGCTAAGTCACTTCAGCTAAGTTCAAACAATCTGTAAATATGCTCACCTGGTGGGATTACTATCCCCTTTTTGTAAAATTGAGACAATATCAGGATGAAAGTGATTCAACTCTCTTGGTGCCAACAGATACAGTAAGATTTTACGTGCATGGGCATTTATTACCATCTCATCCATTGATTTTAGCATCTCCTGCAATGTGTAAAAAAAACATTGAAGTTTATTCAGTTTTAACTTCCATTTAAGTATATCATAAAATCTTGTTGATAAGAAGCTTTAATTTATCATGAAAGTTACACAATAAAAGATTGCTTTACATCCATATTTTGTATAATTTGAAAGTGGAAATTTATGGAGAAAAAAATTATGTTACCCACTTCCCTCAAGTTTTTATCCTACTCATGACTTTCTAAAAAAGTAATTAAGGACTTTTTTGTTGCTTACATAAGGGAATTATTTATTAACACTGTGAACAAAAATTACTAAAAACCCAAGCAGTTTAATACATCTCAAGATCAAAAGTATTTTCTGTTAGATGTAGCCCATTAGTTTATTCCATTTAACGGTGCAAAATGGGACTGTACAAAAATCACTGATGGTTCCGTTTTATATACACACACTAGTATTGATAGCTTACATCAAGAATAGCCTTTTGCATCAATACTGTGTCATCAACAGTATCAAAGATAGCCAAGAGTAACAGATGTCCAAATTCTTCTTTACATATTTTTACAATGTGAGTCTTCAAGCTTTTAATGATGACTTTGCGGTCTTTGGTTGATCCTGACCACACACAGTGCATGGCTACTCTAGTCCCATCTTTTGTATGCACAAGATTTGGAATGTGTTCTCTGAGGCCTTCAATCATCTCCTGAAATGGCAAAGTTTTAGTTAAAAAAAAAGTTTTATCCAGTAAATCTTTAGTAAGACATTTTTAAAAAATACTTTGCCATTAATCCCACCATGTAAGAAACAAAATTAACCCTTATTTACTTGTTTAAAAAGCCTGTATTCAATCTAAGTGCTTCGTCTAGCACAGTAGTAAAGATATTTTTTGAGAAAAATCACAGCTTCTCTCAGGCTGTCGCAGTTTTATGTTATTAAGAATTTAATTGAAATTCAGATGCAATTACTGCAACTCAAGAGCTTAAAAAAATGTTTGCCTGTGTAACTATAAGATTCTAGCTAAACACAAAATCTTAAAAATTACCTTTTTTGATTTGTCATCTGCATATGCAAAGAAGTCATGAAACACTTTGTGGACTAATGAATAACTGAGGATTTCCCTAAAAAAAACAAATACAAAATTGTTTAGAATTAAAAATCATTATCAATTAAGGGAACACACACTCTTTAAATATACAGATTTAATAAAAAATGCGTTACTAACAGTTTAAAAAATTACGTTGAAAAAAAAAGTAAAAGAAATAAAGATATTTAGGTATTTTAACAGCAATTTACAATTCCAAATGACTTTATTTACTTGTCAATGAGTGGCATAAGTGCCTCTCGCATACTCCTAATGACCATGTCTTTCTTTTCAGGCTGTTCCTCCATAATCTGATCCAGCGACTGATGCACACGTTCCTGACACAGAAATTTAAGATCAAAATAAAATAATTGCACCTTGTTGCTGTAACTTGGCATATGTTTTCTAAATTTAACAAGATTTTTCAAATTCTGAAGATTCTTACACGTTAATCCCTTAAAAATTAAATTTAATACCATAAGCTTACATTACTGTTTCATACATAAATTATTCACTGAATCACACCCAAACTTCAGTGAATTACCTTAAACATAGAGAATGTGGGTCCATAAAACTCTTCTAGAATGGCCAGTCTTTGTGGAGCCGTTGCATACTCATTAAAAGCGTACTCAATAATGTCCGATGCTTCCTAAAACAAAAAACAAAAATTATCAGCACTAATCTAAATGAGTGAAAAATTATGCGGTGGTTTTAAAAATAAATTAATTTACTAACCGAAAAGTTATCACGCTGATATGAAACATACCAACCTTGTGTCTGATCAGCTTACGAACTTGGCCATGGAAACTTGTGAACATTTGAGCCCGGAGCTCTTTTGTGCTGAAACATGAAATAAATGAGCTTTGAGGTTATAAACAATACACCTGAATGGTTAACTAAACCTTAACTGATTACAACTGATATAAAAAAAATGTTTGGCTTAGTACAAAGTAATAATTGTGTTAAATCAAAAATTGAAAAAAAACCAACTAATTAATCAATTAGGATTATAACTTAAGACGATGATGTAATTTTCCAGAACATACCCATAATGAATCAACTTCCTCACAACATATTTGGCATACTTCTGCTTGCAAAGCTCACATATATCATCTGGCAATAAAAAAGAAGTACCAGAGTTGCTTGAAACTTATCAAGTTGATTTTAGATTTTTTTTTTTTAAATTTTGCAAAAAAACAAAGTGCATAATGTTAAAAAATGAAAAATAAAGACATAGTTCAACCATTAAAAGGTTGAGGAAAAGATCAAATACCCGGTAATATTTAATTAAATATTTCAACATAGTACAAGAACAAACTATGCATCCTTATAATAATAAATACTAAGATGATGTTTTCTAGATTCCACAACAAAACCTTGCATCCTTATTATTAATACTAAGATTTCTAGATTCAACCACAAAACCTTGCATCCTTATTATTAATACTAGGATGATATTTTCTAGATTTCTAGATTTAACAACAAAACTTTGGATCCCACTTGCAAAAATAAATCGTACTCAAAGAAATTAGGTGTTAAAATAAAGCACTAGTGGATATCAAAAGCTGCACTCCTTCAGTTGACAAGACTAAACCAATGGGATTAATAATAGAAAAATGTTGATGCTATAGGACATACTTTTCAATTCTTCAAATATTATGTTACGTTGCTCTTCTGTTCCATACTGAATAAGACATTGGATCACTCGGGCTGAATCGTGAACCAGTGACAGCTTTTAAAATATAATAATGATAAAATTAAATTATATCTAGAGAAAATATTAAAATATAAAAAAAAATGTTTAATTTTTGAAAAGTCACACAGAAAAAGTAATACTTTTCTTAAGAAATTTTGTGATTGAGAATCATGACAAAGGGCAATGACAACTCGTGTTCATAATTAATTACTATAGCTGAGAACTATCATTTTTCTTCTACACAAGATCTGATGTGAAAAAAAAATAATATTAAAAGTGTATCTGTTTTAAGAGGTAGAAAAACTATTTACGCAACTTTTAATAATAGCATAAAATAATAATTTAAAACACTTGAACAAGCATGGCTTAGGGTTACTCACATTTTTAACCTTCCCCACTACCATTTTCATTAAATCATCACAGATCTTTTTCCTTTTAGCTGCTGGGAGGTCAAGCCTGAAATATTTGAGTAATTTTAACAAATATGCTTAAATGCATTCCATGGTTTGCAAACTAATGGAAAATAAACTATCTGAAAAATTGAAATCATTTTTAAGAGATTTTTAAATAACCTCATCACCTTCGAAGTTCCTCCCACGATTTCTTGGCATTCTCGATGAGGTCATAGTTATTTTTTACCATTTTGCGCTGCTGCTTCAACTCCTTACGAGTCTGTTTTGGAGTTTTAGGGACTAGGAAAGAATATAGATTAAGACATAATTTTTTTTGTTTATTTCAAGAGTTTTTCATTGAAAAGATTCTAGGGATATGAAAAAGAAAGAAAAAAATATAATGAATATAGCATAGTTGTAAAGGAAATCAAGGAATCTTCAAAAATTACTTTCAAATCCCCTGATATTACTAGACAAATTGATTTAGATATTACAATTACAGAATAAATAAAAAAGTATCAATATAAGGAAATGAACATTGTTGTAAATGATCAGACATCAAACATACCAGTGGTCTCATCTGGTAATGCTTCAAAGTTCTTATTCACTTGTTTTTTTATCTTATGAGTTTCTCCCGCACTCTTTAGTGATTTTAACTTCTTAGCAGCCTGTTTGAATGGAATCTTTAAGTAAAAAGATAAATATATTAATAATAAATGTTATTTCTGATGATGGAACACAACCATATAACGCTCTTGAAAAATAACCCTTTTAACTGTCAAATAAAATTCATATTTCAATTACTTACTTTCAAAGCAGCCTTCTTTCCCTTCTCTTTCTCAGGTTTCTGAGATTTTGTTGACTTTACTGCAACCTTAGATTTCTTAGATGGTGATGGTGTCTCATTTTCATCTGCCATGTCATGATCCTCATCAACGTCCATATCTTCATCATGAGCGTCACTGTCATTTAAAGAAATTTGTGACAACTGCCTTCTAGTAAATGATCTGTAATTATTCACAAACACATAAAAAATATAAAACAGAATGTACATACATATACGTTTAAAAAAATTTTCAATAGGTTATTAAAGAGTTAAGTAATGTTTAAACTTTTAAAACTTTAATTAGGATAGGAGGGAAAAGGATTTTTTTTTTGAATGAACCTAGAAGTTTGTAGTTCCTTGATCCTAGAAGCCTAAACCTAATACATTTTGACAAATAGTTAAGATTATCCAATATGGAATATTAACTATTTCAAAACTACATTTTTAACTTGTGATACCTTTCAGCACCATCTGGTTCTCCTCTGGCATAGTGTACAGCCATCTCTAATGTATCATCAGAGGTCTGTTGTGCCTTTTTCTTCTTTCTAAATGTTGAAGTAAGTGTATCATTTTGTGAGGGATCAATGACACTTATTTGACTGAGTGTAATAGGCGTCTGCTCAAGTATGCTCTCTTCTGAAGAAATATTAAAATTCAATTACCTTAAATATTTTCCCGTCCAAGTAAAAATTGCATGATCACATAGTTTATTGGGAATTAAAAAAACTGATAGAAAATTGAAACTGAAGTCTATATAACTAAATTCATGTAACAACTCAAGCTACAATATAGTCAAATTAAGATTCTTAGTGTTGATTTTATACTTCTAAATAACACAAAGTTTTGACTAGAAAGATAAGACTGATAGTAAATGCATGTAAGTTTCTGAAAAACAATAACAATGTACAGGTATTTAATGAAGGTGAATTCCAGGTAAAAGTGGACACAACATCCAAAAATTAAACTGCATAAAATTTGGTATTATATAAATTTATTTCATGGATCTTGGTATGGAGTCATTTTTAGTATCTTTGTTTTGTGTGACGCATGACCATCTTGAATTACGAAAATGTGTGCACATTTTAATCGCAATAATGTTAAATATTTTTTAGTTTGATAAATGAAAAAGCTTTAGGCTATATCAAACCTTGAGAGTCTTGAGAAAGATTCCCAACCACTTGAGTTGTCATATTAGAATCATAAAGAGAACGCCTTCTCCTGATGCCAGTCTTTTTTACTCTTGATTGTGACCGTTCAAATGTATCAGGCGTCATTGAAACATCTTTAACGCCAGATTTTTTTGAATTAGTCATTTGACCAACTGCTGATTTAGGCCTTTTCAGAGGTGAGGTATGTTTGTTCTTCATCTTTAAAAACGTTCAATGACTATTTCTGTACACTTTAATAATGTTGCTTTTGGGCTGATATACCTGCCAAAAGTATTTTTTAAAGATAAGATTTATCTCATGACACGTAAATAATGCCTGCAAAACCAGATAAGAAATCACAATTAAACTTTAATTAAACATTTCTTTCTTCTTAGACAACTAAATATAGTATAATTAATAAAGTATAGGCTATAGTTATTATAGTAATCATAATAGAGACCATGGACCATAGTCACTATAGAAGCTCTTATTAACTAGTCTAACTCAACCTCTAAAATAAGACAGTGTAGTTCTGAGTAGTAGTAGTACAAGTAGAGGGTAGTTTTTTGGCCTCAATTCAGTACGGTATTCAATATTAAAGAAGCTAATTATTATTAAAGTTCCTCACTTAATAATCTCTTAATTGTTAATAATAATGGATTCATGTTTATGATTATATATGACGTTTGATTTGTTTAGTTGATAAAAACAAAAAACATATTAACATAATTATAATTACAGTGTGAGTGTGACTTTCTAAAGGATATTTAACATTTAGCTTTTATGAAATATGCTCAACAGACGAGGCTAATACTCAGTTACACTGCAGTTCACATTACATTTTTACATTGTTGTGACAGTGAGAACAGATTGTGAATTGTGTGTGAGGCTGAATTTTTGTGACCAGTGAGTTTCAGTGACTGAACTCAGGGTCTCAAACTTCAAAGTGAACTGGGTCTGTGCGCAAGAGAAGTCGTGTACCAATTACGTTTTTTAACAGTAATTTTTAACTAGATACAAAATTTACCCACATACTAGGATAATATTAATTATTGTGAAAATACAGGACTTTAAAAACGTATGCCTACACTTCAGATGCAGTTCACATTATTTCACATGTGTTATTTGTATGAATTTTGACGGAAGTGGAGTTACCTCTCCTGTTCTTATGTGTGCCTTAAAAATTAGAAATGGCTTTTGAAACAAACATCGCCGAAAAATCTCTCGAACTAATCATTTGTGCAAATAATTTTAAGATTGCAATCATTAAGGCACTGCTGTTCTAAGATTGTAATCATTAAGGCACTGCTGTCCTACCATTATGACCACGTTAGCAAAAAAAAATGTTCCGCGAAGCCAAGGGCTGCAAATGGCATATGATTCGAGAGATTTTTTATTTTCTTTGGTACTTTTACCTCATGCATAAAGTGTCATATATCCAATAGCATTATGGACTCATCAAGAATATTAATAAAGCGAATAAAAACTGTAGCCGTTTTAACTGATATACTTTGATTTAAATTGTAGTTTCCATTTTCTTAATTTGAAGTAGTTATCTGTGGCACATGCACTCATAATTAGATTTTCTAAATGTTCACCAGTCAAAGAGTTACATTTCTTTGATATTGCTGTTGGTCATTACAAAGAATCCAGCTCCCTTGATGTAGGGTGCCTCCAAAAAGATGGTTAAAATGTTGTTACTTGTCCATAGCTGTGAAAATGCGTCAGAACATATACTCCCTCCGAATTTATTTATAACGCATTCTTATGATTGTTTATATACCATTTTAAAACAAAAACAACAAATACGTCGAAGAGTCGTGCCTACTGTCTCTCACAATTGCTTCCTGAACAAATTGCAACAACAAAAAACAAACACAACACACCTTGTACCCTGATCCCTATTCATTGAGCGTCTCATACTCTGATATCTGGATACCAGGTACTTGTCCTCAACGTCATAACAATAAAGGATGGACATCCACTCTCCCACACCTGGCTAAGTTACCTGATTAAATAGCATGCTACCATAAATGGTTAACACTGTCCACCATAGTCATTCAATTTTGACACCTTTAGTAACCCCAGCTCCCATCTCAGTTAGTCTGACATGAAGACTTTCCTGCCATATTATTATCCCCCCCCCCCCCAACCGTGTAGCTAGTTAACACACAGTGCTTGCCTATCTAATTCATCCAACTTGGTCCCGTTCTTGGGGGCACGCAGAGACGTAGCGAGAGTGTTTGGCGCCCAGGGACAAGATTCGTTTAAAAGCACCCCCTTTAATTTTTTTAACTCTTAAACCCATTATTTTCATCAATAAAATAATATCAAAGCACCCGTTCGGCGCCCCCTTCCCCGTCCCCGTGTTAGCGTAACTCATTGTAAGATTATTTTATTATTTTCTAATTTTTAGCGTGTTTAAACTCGTATTTGATAGCAAAACTTTTAAATCTAAAAAAAAAAAAAAAAAAAAAAAAAAAAAATATTTATTTTTTATAATAAAAAAATAAAATTTAAAAAATCCACAAAAAGAATTTTTTTTATCCCTTTAAAAAAAAAAAAAACAAGCCCCCCCCTTTCCCCAGCCTTTTTATAAACCCCCCCCCCCCCCCCCCCCCCCCCCTTTGTCATGTTGGCACAACTCACTTGCAACGAGACGATCAACTCCTTTCAGGTGATCACAGAATTCAGTTTTTCATTATTGCACTCTAACAAAAAAAAAAAAAA